CTATCTCTATATCTATCTATATCTATCCCTATATCTATCTATATATATATCTATCTATCTATCTATCTATCTATATCTATCCCTATATCTATCTATATCTATCCCTATATCTATCTCTATATCTATATATATCTATATCTATCTATCTATCTATCTATCTATCTCTATATCTATCTCTATATCTATCTATATCTATCCCTATATCTATCTATATCTATCCCTATATCTATCTATATCTATCCCTATATCTATCTCTATATCTATATATCTATATCTACCAATCTATATCTACCAATCTATCTATCTATCTATCTATCTATCTATCTATCTATCTATCTATCTATCTATCTATCTATCTATCTATCTATCTATCTATCTATCTATCTATCTATCTATCTTCATCAGATGAAAACCTTTCAGGATTCTTTTTAGTCTTTCAGATCAACCCTTAACCTAACCAGTGGGGTAAAGAACCAAACTTCACATTTGATCAAATCAGTAATACTATATCCAGAACACCCTGATGAATAAAACCATGGACAGTAAATGAGGCCCATAGCTTTTACCAACCAGTGACTAGATTTTTTTTTAAACCAACCAATGATCTGGTCTAACAGTGACAGATGATACATGGAGTTTTCACTATGAACAGTTCAATTGTATCCTACTGTTTACCATTCAAATCCCTTTGGGTAATGACACGGTTTGACGTTGGTTTTATTAATTTAATGTCTTATTAAGATGAACAACAGCAGCAGCCACCTGTGGCCCTGAATCAAATTAAAACACAAACACAGCCAATAGACTGAAGAATCAGAAACATCCTCAGAAAAACAAGGCTAGTTAGTGTTTATCAGCAGCGTTTAGGTTTTTGGTTTATCTGAACACTTATGGGCACATTTTCTATTGCTGATTGTTCTATAAATATTGAATTTATTGACATAATTTCAAGCCCCCTCAAATTATGATTTTTTTACGGATTACATTGGGATCCCATCTCCTGGTTAATTGAAACCATTTTACACAAACTCACCACTAAGTTCAGTTTTCAGTTACTGGTTCTGAAAAGCTTGAAGAGGCTTACTATGCTGATAATTATCATTTTCATTAGAGCCTGTTGGCTGTAGAACATAAAAGCAACGACAAAAGAAAAAAAATCTCACATTTTATTGAAATAAACAAATTCTGTAAAAGTTATAGATGGACAATGGAAGGATAAAAAAAAAAAAAAAAAAAAAACATTTTAAAAGAACAGGAGCTTCGCCTGAACGGTAAAGATTTTTCCATACTCTTAATTTTTCCGACATATTCTGAGTTTGAAAAGAAATCCCAGAGCATTCCATAATTTTCCAGTGAGTGTCAGATCCCAGAAATGTGTTAAAGCGATTCTAACACAGAACTCTAAGGCTACATTCACACTGCAGGCCTTAATGCTCAATTCCGATTTTTTTGTGAAATCGGATTTTTTTGCGTGTCCGTTCACACTTCCAAGTATATGCGACTTGTATGTGATCTACTGTGTGAACTGAATGCGTCCAACCGAAGTGTCCCGCATGCGCACTCGAGGACGCGATGACGTCACACGTAGCAAGCGTCCTCAGTGTTTGCGGAAGTAAACATGACTCGTAATACCGCAGCGTATATTGCGTTCTTTAAGTTCTTCTCCAACAGGAGCAGGCACATTACGAACGAAATCTTTTTAAGAAGATCAAAAAGAAAGACCCTCCCCCGGTTCCGGTAAGACCCTTCGAGTTTGGTCTGAATCAAGCTTTCTAAATATGAATTAAGTCAGCAACCTCACTTTCTCTCCATTGACTGCTCTCTGTGTTATCTTCCGCCATGGTTGTTAGTTTTTCCCGCCTCCGCTTAGTAGGACGCAGATTAGTAACGTTTAGTAATATTTGTCAAGTATCAATGACGTGTAGGTCGGATGAATGCGACCTGGCCGTACAGACACAGGTCGCATTTGAAAAGATCAGATACGTATCGGATTCAGGACCACATATCCAAGTGGCCTGGGTCGCATTTGAAAAAATCCGATCTGTGTCGTTCAGACTGTCATAAAAAGATCAGATACAGGTCACATATGGGCAAAAAAATCGGAATTGGGTCACTTCAGGCTGCGGTGTGAACGTAGCCTAAGAGCTTTGGTTTCTCTCAGTGTCTGTTTAACCAGTTTTTAAACAGTTCTTCCCTCATACTGTCATCCTTCTTTTAAAATGTCTACACATCCGGGGAAATTCTACAAAGAGCTGCAGCTTTCTGCCATTTATAAACCATCACGTGTGAAGGGTTAATGATCATATTTAGGTCTCCCAGGACTGAACAAAAGCCAGGATCGTTGGCTTAATAAGAAACAAATTTGTGGATTGAATTAGTAAAAATTGGAAACTGTTGTGTTCTCCAAAGTTCGTGTCAAACTCTACCAAGATGAACCAATAAGCCATAAATATAACAAAAGACGAAAACAGGCTTTTAAAATGACGGTCGGAGAACAACGTCAAACATTTATCGCAGAGAGTCATGATTAGAGTAAAACCACCTGTGGTTGTTGTTAGAACATAGTAAATGTATTTATGTCTGACTTCTCAATGCTTCCAGATAACATCCCAGGCTCTCCATGAACAGATAGAGAAGAATAGAAATGTACGACAGCAGTTTTTTTCATGCCAAACAACCATTTATCAGGTCTAATTAAAGTCCAATCGCAGAGAGCAGCAATAAAGCTACAAGTTACCCCCTTAATCGTCTCTATTTGATATTGTAAATAAAACTTTACGGCAGTTTTGTTTTAACAGCTACTGCAGAAAATCCAACTAACTCAATCATTTTAAAACATTCATTTATTATGAATAGAGATGCACCTTTGCCGTGTTTTTGTGATCCATTCTCATATGATACCTGAGCTGGGCGTACTGACCGAAATCTGATACCAATCCAATTCAGCTGTTAGTCATATATCTTGCCATGTGAGTGAAGGCTTTACCCTATACATAAAACATATTTAAAAAGGTAACAACTTAAGGCGCGGCAGAAGCAGCAAGTTTACATGCAAAGTTAATGGTTGACGTGCGTCAAGGCGCAGCAAAAGGTCCCTCAACGCGTTTTGAGCAGCAGGTGCAGCACGTCTGAGCAGCTGAAGCAGCACGTCGGGAGCGTTTAAGCCTCTGACGCACGTGACGCGCCGCAAACGCACTGCTGCTCGAGATGGAAAAATTGAACTTTTGCTGCTCGACGCGCCGCGCCAACCAATCAGAGAAGCTGATCTGGGAGCTGACAGGGAGAGAGACACAGCGCTGATGACACAGATCGCTATGATCACTCCTCTGAAACTGTTTATTAACATCTAAATTAACTTAAAATGCTGAAAACCTTCCAACAGAATATGTTCGCTTTTATTATCCTGCTGCCTGCAGTTTGGATTATTTTGATGAAAAACACCAACCAGCCGCCACGGTGAACCAAGAGGAGGCAACCTGGCCAGAGGCTGCTGTTGAATGGGATCCTACTGACAGTGTACCGCTGGTAATATTGGCAGGCAGGGTGGTAATCTGGATGAACTGACTGCACTGATTAAGTTTTCAGGTGGATTTTCCCACTTAAAATCATATTAAAACTACTTTATTCCCACTGATCACAGCAAATATAGCTGCAAGGCAAAGAAAGGATAGTGAAGCTCCGCCCAACGTGCGTCAGACGCACTTTTGCACCGCGCAGCCAGAGCAGCAAAGCTGCTTCAGCCGCGCGTCAGAACTAACTGGTACAAGCAGCAAAAATGAAGCAGCAGACGCGATTTTGCTGCTCTTGCTGCGTCCGGTCTGAACGTAGCATTATGTACTTTATATAAGGGCTGGGCAATATAACCTCAAATCAATATCACGATAAATTGGCCGGTTTTAACTCAATAACGATAAATGCATGATAAATGCTTCCGCTCTTCTATCAAAAATAAAGGCATGTGCAGGAAATACAACTGATCTATTTATGATTTATTCATTGAATAAATCTCATTACATATGACTTTCAATTAAATATTAATATCTTGTATGCATTCAGGTTTAAACATTCAACAATGTCTCATTGAACAGGAGAAAAATGTTTCCTCTCTTGCAAACATTTTTGAACAAAGGCAATGGAGCGTTTCGCACATCTCTGAAAGCAACAGCCTGGCTGTGCTGTAGATTGAGTGTGCTACTTTGGGTGTCCCGACAGTTTTCAGACAAACGTTACATTTCTTATTCTTTCGCTCAACATCTGTGGAGTAATTTTTGTTAAACCAAATTGAGTATGCAGTAAGAACAATGTGCATCATTTAAACTCCAACACCTTTACTCAAAACTGGTTTGCCATGAGGCGGCTATGATCAGCAATGAAGCTTAAATAATCATACTTTCAAAAACCTACAAAACAGCAATTGAGTTGATTCCTTCCTGCTATCATCGCAACCTTCACCCCCATAGAGGGGACTAAAACACCTGTTTCAGCCAGGCCAACAATTCCCTCTAACTACCCTCTTTCAGAGAAATAGACAGGTATCAGGTATTAGAGGCTACTAAATAACTCAAATGACCCCCAATTACAAAGGGGCAGACCCGCTGATCCAGTTCAATTTGCATATTTTCTAAGTCAAAACAAAGAGTTTTTGGTCAACTGTATAAAGCCTTGAACTCAATGCTATTTCTGACACTTTGAACTGAAAAAGCTTCCTGGATGGGAAACGAAACGTCTTTAAACTTGGCAACCAGGTCCATTGGACTGTTTCATAATTTTTTTCTTCGAATGACTATGACCAGGATGACTGGGAATCTTAACCAGCATACTTTGGCTGCTGATTGATCTTTTTATTGCGTTTCATTTGACAATTTTGCTGTTCTGAAGATGATTCCAGAAACTTACTAAAGCAACCGAGACAAACTGTAACAGTTAACTAATCCACTGACCAAACTTTAAAATATCACTGAATATTTAAGGAAATTTACAAGAAATTCATCATCACTCACCATTTAGTAACTCTGGTCCTCCCATAATGCTCTGCTGCTGTTGAGGTGGGGGCAGCGGAGCCTGCGGCTGGACAGTCTCCAATCCCAGAAGTGAGGAGGAGGAGGATGAAGAAGACATCGAGGAGGAAGAGGAGGAACAAGGTGGAGGAGAAGTGGGAGGACACTGGGAGCTTTGGTTCGGCACTGCAGACTGGGAGCTCTGAGGAGACGAGACAAAAGAGAAACAAAGTCAGATCTTCAGGAACTCTCTTGGTTTGAAAGTCAGGATTCCTCCAGAGAACAAAACATGAATCTGACCCCTGACTGACATTATTCATTCACTGAGATTTTTAGGATTGATCGATCCATCCACTGCCTCAGCTTATCCAATCAGGTCGGGGGGAGAACTGGTCCAGATCGGAACCTCAGCGTTCACTTCCTTCAGCAACATCCTCCATCTCATCCTGGAGGACCTCAAGGTGTTTCCAGGTCACATGGATGTGTACAGTGGAATCTCTCGAAAGTTCTACTCTTTCCTGGGGTCTCCTTCCAGTGAGACTCACCCAGAGCGGCACTAAGGAGGCTTCCTAATCCGAGGCCTGAACCACGGCCACTTGAGACGTGGAGAATCAGTGGCCCCGCTTTAATCTCCCCCATTATGATGGAGCTTCCTACTCTGTTTCTGAGATTGGGTCCAGCCACCTCCTTGAGGCAGCTTATTGTTTCCAGGATCTGATTTTTTGATTATGATCCATTTCTCATGACCAGGGGTTAATATCAGAAACAGGATGATCTGGTAAACCAAGACCTTTGACTTTGCTTCAGCTTTTTCTTTACCCAAACAAACCGGAGCAACATCTGCATTACTGCAGACAAAGGCCCGGTCCATCTGTCCGTGATCCATTCCATCTTAAAATCCCTCAGGCAGAACCATGACTTTGGACTTAAAGGAGCAGACTCTCACTCTAGCCTCATCACATTCCAGGGAACGCTGAAGGTCATGGCCTAAAGAAGGCACATCATCTAAAGAGATCCTGTTCTTCCCAAAGCAGACGTTCTCTTCTCCACTCCACGCTTGGAGATCCTGTCCACGATAACCACAAAAAGAATCACTGACAAGGGCCAGCCCTTTAGCTTTGGGCTGTAGAATTAAAATCCAGCCAGCTGTCTGCCAGGGGAGAATTTCAGTCCAGACAGACATTTCACCTTGGCCCTCCTTGCCACTAGCTTTTTCCGAATTAGTCAGTTTTCCTGAGGTGTTTTCTATATTTCTGCTGCTATATGTGTAGGCTGATGGAGGACATAAAGAACACTTATCCTCATTCTACTTCATCCTATCTCTATTATTCCATTCTGCAGTATTTGTTAGTTCAATCTCTAATGTTATGCTCTCTCTGCTTTTTCTCATAGTAGCCTAATCTGGTCTGTTCCTGTTTGGCTGTGACTTCATCCTGGAGAGAAATATCAGCTTTTCTGCTTTCATCAACACCTTTGTTTATAAATGTTGGAGCTTGACCTATTTTTTTATGTAGTCCTGTTTCTTTACTGTCACTGACTTTACGTCCTCTCTTTCATCCTCTGACAAGAGAGAATAGGCTTGGATCTCATCTGCCTGGCTGCGTCTTTCCTTGGACGGGGCCACCTTTGGAGCTATTTACCTTTTGTTTATCTGCTTCTTTCTGTATGTCTGCTTCTGTCTCATTGAACCCCTGTCGGCCTCGGCAAAAGGCTGCTCACACAGAGCCTGGTTCTGCTAGAGGTTTTCTCCTGTTAAAAGGGAGATTTCCTCTCCACTGTTGCCACATGCATACTTGGTGTGAGGGATTGCTGAAGAGTCAAACATAATCCAAACTCATCCAGTAGGAGCATGTCTGGCAAGTCAATGACTGTATGCAATCAACTAATTTTCCTTTATAGAATATAAATTATAAACTGAATAGATACCCTGAAGATCCCCAAATGCCCATGTCTACTGGAAGAAAATACTCCAACCTTACCAAAAAAAAGACGTTTTCTAACTGTTATAACTTAAAGGTCAGAGCTGCAACTTTTTCATCAAAGCGATTGTTTTTTCAAAACTAATAATACATCCACAGAACAGCTAGAGTGATACAGAATAAGATCAATAATTTTACTGAGAAAAATAGTATACTATATAAATAAATATTGGTTCATAAAACTTTAATGGGTCCAAAATATATAAATAAATATTTCTTTCTAGTTATAATGCCAACATCGTCACATTATGACTCCAGACATGTAATTAAGTCCTTTAAACCTGGCAGCTAAGTGTTTTATTGACCAGACCATCTGGGTTTATTTCTTAACTATAATGTAAATCCATAAAAATCCTTGTTTATTCCTAAACATTTGGTTAGAAGATCTTCCATTAAAAGGAATCAAGAGTTCTAAGAAAAACTCTTGCCTTTTTTCACACATTATCTCTTCAAACAGTAGCGTCATGTAACAGTCAGCCTCAACCCTCTTTGTTTAACAAAATAAGAAAAACTGTAAAGTTGACCATTGATGGAAAAAGAAGCAGGAAATCAGGAATGACCTCAATTAGGCTCAAAACTGCATATGCTTGGATCAGATCCCGCTACGACACATCGTGACTTCAGGGAAACACTTTGCAGATTTGACAGATAAGTGAGAAAATGTGACACTGCAAAGGATGTTGGCTGTGAACAGCTGCTCCTCCCAGCATGTGATGAGGAAGCTGTAGCTGTGATATACTGTAAAACCATCAGCCTTTGAAACATCATTATTCAGGCTTCTTGGGATTTGAACCTACAGTACTTTAGATTCAACAGAAGAGTCACAGTTATGCTGCAGAAATGTAATGCACGGTTTCTGATCCAACACATCAAACTAAACCGTGAGCAGAATAAACACTAGGAGCTGGTTTGATGAACTAAAGGGAGAGGGACGGAAAGTGTTTCATTGGACGCAGATAAAAGAACAGCAGCCATTAAGCTGTACAAATCTGATTGAAAACCTAACAGATCCTACACAGATGCTATCATCCCATCACAACCTTTGAATGGATTGAAACTGTTTATTCTAACAGCAGTTTGTTAGGATTTTATTTGATTAAAGGAAACCCAATATTTAAAAAAACAAAAATCTAAAGTCCTCAATATCAGCTCATTTACTGTCATCAGTGCTCAAACAATAGGGAAATATCTATTTATTTTTTTGCTTTTATTCAAGTTTTGGGTCTCATCATTTGGCTCATAAAGCTATAACCCCTAGTCTTAGTAAATTGTTTTGGTAATTAAAAGAGTTTGCCATACAAGGCACCTCAAAGCACCAAGCAGGGCCTATGGAAGTGAAACAGGCCCACAGCATCATAGATTAACCACCCTACTTTAGCTGCTTTACCATATATTTATCCTTTTGTTACCAAAAAGTTCAGTTTAATCCTCCTCTGACTATCCAACTTAGTTGTAACAGCAGCATTTACACATTTTGATTAGAAACTTTAATTTACTTCCATGTCAGAAAGCTGAGTTATTTCAGCTCCAATGTTCCTATCTCGTGCTCCTACCTGGGAGGGTATTTGGGCGCTGGTTGAGCTGGGCCCGTTGCTGTGCATCCCCATCCCATTCTCAGTCAGGAACTCCTCCAGGTCCATGTACTGCAGCTGGAAGAGGCCTCCATCACATGGAAGAGTCTTTTCCCACAGCAGAGGACCAAGGAAGGCTGACTGGGAGTTGGGTCGCAGCGAACCGGTGCTTGGGGTTCCTCCTGTCCCGCCGGGCCCTCCATTGTTGATGCCCAGTGTGTCCTCTTCAGAGTCTTGGGGCTTGTCTTTGTCTGAAGGAAACAAGGAAAGGACATTTCATAAAACAGCCTTTTGAAACTGAATGCATTCGACAAGTAAAGGTCAGGAAAATTATTCATTCTCCATTTGACACAACTGAGATTTATTTGATTAAATCAAATCTCAAAATCTGCTCCATTCTGACAAGGTGAGCTAAGTTAAAACTATCAAATGGAAAAAAGTGAAAATTGGTGTAATTAGTCTCTGAATATGTTTAACAGAGGCTTTAATTATGAGCCAGAGGTCTGATTATCTCCTCCACTGAGATCTAATTAGCTTTTTTCCTCTTAAATTGCCCTCTAACTACGATGTGCAATGAGTAGCTGATGTTTCTATTAAACACCAAATAAAAGCCCGTCAAAGCAATGCAGGGAAATGTCATTTCATTTTACAGTTTCATCTTTCCTTAAACAGAACAGCTTTAGTTGCAGTAAGAGAGCTTACCAAAACCATATCAAAGATCATAACAGGGCCCGTTATTAAAAAAAAAGAAAACAGAGCACTCAACAGGTTTGATCTCTAGGTGGGCTGAATGCAGCGATGACACATTAACGCACACCACTAAGCCTGTTCAACTAAAAATAATCAAACCAACATGATCTAAACAAATTCTGCACTTGGAAAGAGATTATAAGTTTATTTATTTTGGATGAAAATAATAAAAATGTTGCTTATTAATAATAATATTTGAACTATATTGATCTCACATCGGAGAAATTTGCCTCTGCATGTACCCATCCCCTTGGGGAGCAGTGGGCTGCCATTGTGCAGTGCTCAGGGAGCAGTGTGGGGTTAAGGGTCTTGCTAAGGAAACCCAGAGTTGAGGCTGTGGGGATCGAAGCACTGCTTTAACCACTAGGCCAACAATCCCCCATAAAGAGGACAAAAAACAATTTTGTTCCAAAAATGAAAAAGGTCACCTATTCAGCGTTATGTTCAGTCACCAGATGCAGATAATAATAAACATATTAGCAATTATTTATTCTGCAAAGTAAGTCATTGCAGCATTGCTAGAAAATTCAGGCCTAAAATGTTTGTTTTTCTCTCAAAAGGCTGCAGGAGATTTGAAAATGACAGCTGCCTTTGCACAAAATCTCGTTCTCTGTCCATGGTCCTGAAACAACAGGGATTATATAGAATGTATGAATCTAAGTTTCAAAAATGAAATAATGTTAGAATACTGATAGATGCTGTTTCCTTAAATTGAACCAAAATGTGATTCTACCATTTTATGGTTTTGAAAGATCAAAGAAACTGGGTCATTTCACCATTTTTATTTATTCATCTGTTTCTCCAAATAAATGTGTTTGCTTTCCAGCTTAATTATACAGACAGATGCTAAAATATATGTGAGAAAGTTGGAAAAACTCTTGTACTCTGGCGTACATTTTTCTGCAGACATTCTGCAACTAATAAGATGAAAAGGATTAGAAAATCCAGCTGCAGAGAAATGTGCTGCCAATCATGTTTTCTTTTTTCCTTTTTCTCTCTTTGCATAAAGCACTAAGCTGTAATCATTAAAAAGGCATCTAAAAATAAATTTGACCTGCCTTAAACTCTGACCCATGGGGGCTAACCGCATCAATAAATCATTCTCACAAAAAAAGGAAATCCTTCACATTTACACATGAATGGCAATTAAAACGAGTCAGTAAATAAAGAGCTGCATGAATGATGTCAAACAAGGACTCTGAGCTACTATTATCCTACAGAAAGACAATGTCACATTGAATAAATAGTTTATAAAGCTTGACAAAAATATAGAATATTTGGTGAATCATTAGATGTAAGGAGAGTGGAGCAGCATAACGTGCATCTGTGTAAATCCACAGTTTCTAGAAATGTCTGGCATTTATGATCCTGTTAAAATTCTAATGTAGCATTTTAACTTTACTACAAGCAAATGTCTAAATCTGTCAAGCTACTGCAGCTCCCCAGGCTTTTTAGTTTTTTTTTTTTTATGGGGGGGTTAAAAAGGCCACCAAAGGCCTTGAGAAAAGTTCAAAGCAAACAAAAACAACTGACAGGCAAATAGTGTTCAGTGCTGTTCAGGTCTGCTTTACTGGCATACAAGGTTGCATGTCATCACCATCAGAGGTGTGATTAACAATTTATATGAGGAAGTTATTTATAGTAGCAGATGTCTTTAAAGGAACCCTACAGTCTCTAACTCTGTGGTGTAAAGTCCCAGGATGGGGGTGCAGGAACTACGAAGCACCTGCTGATCCTGCTGCTGTTTGTTACTTTATTATTGTTATTCTTAAATTTCTTTGGTCTAAAAACTGAGCCTTAATTTAGTGCAAGCAAACAAAGCACACTACCACCATGATTTCGAATGTATGCTACTCTTTAACTGTGGTTTTATGGTAAATTTGGCTGAATGATTCACCCCAAAAGTCAAAATTGCGATTTTTTTTTCAACCAATATTGTGATTTTATTTTAACTTCACTGTTAATCTTGCATTCGGACTGAATTCTGTCAAGATTTCATCTTGTCCCACTCCAGCTTTGGTTTCCTTCATGACTGGCCAACCCAAAACAGATTAAGCTTTAAGTTACGTTATATAGCTTTGATGAAAGTAAGAGCTGCCGAGCCCACATCCGAGCCCAAATAGACATGGCAGCGCAGGAGGGCACTAGCGTAGCTTGTGCTATTACACCTGATTTATCAGAATCCATGATTTCATCTTTGAAAGAGGAACGGCAAGAGCGTAAAAATTGAATTTGTTGTGGTTTCTCAGGGCCTCTGCTGCTACTTCACTTGTTACTTTGATTGGCTAAAACTAAACTTAGGCGGGCACTAGGTGTCACTTTACCCGATTAGTTCCAAAGGTTCTGAGGAACAGCCCACCTTTCACCACAGAGATTGGATCAGATAAGTCCCAGATTATTAATGTGTAGAACTCAACCTGAGTCTTACACATGATCCACTTGCTAGCCAGGTTACTTTACTGTTACCTTAGTGTGAAAAAGTTTCTAATTCTACTTGTTTGAATGCATCTGTAATGCTAACAGTCACTCTTCTTTCTTATGCTGCAGCAAACTAACTTTCTGCATAAGAGAAAAATCAGTGTTTTTTTCCTGTTAAATGTTACTACTGTTACTACTATTTACTGCTGTTAAATGTTATGTGGCAAAATAAGGTGTCTCTGGGTTTTGGTGAATAGTGATTGTTTTGCAAATGCAGTTAATTCCCCAGTCCATAAACCAAGTCCTTATTTCTGAGCAGTAAAATAATGGGAACACCAGGGAAAATTCTTGTATTGAGAAAAAAAAAACAATTTTTTTTAGTAGTTGTTTTTCAGTTTTTGGTAACATCCAACCCAAAAATATCAACAGAGTTTGTAAAGTAATAAAAGTTGGTTAGGATTATTATTTTCTTGTGAATGATCAGAAATTATTTTGAAAACATGCACTCATTTGGTCTCCTACAGCCCTTTAAAGCTTCATCGCTTCAGAATGTGATTTGTTTCCTTCTGGAACGATTTGCTGTTCAAAACGTTTAAGTCATTTCTGCACAGCTGCAGCACATTGTGCTCTGTAGGAGGTCAGGGTCCCTTCACACGAAACGCTTTAATAGTTGAAAGAACGAAGTTACAAACAGTGGTAGCCTCAATAAACAGCAATAATATAGGTGCAGTTGCAAGGTTAGAAAATAATGAGAAGCAAACATTACGCAAAGTCATCAAATATCATCTATAAGGTGTCAACAGGATATGAATCACAGCTACTGAGCAGGAATGCATGGTAGGAGTATGTGTAAAGTACCACTGTTCAATTTACAGAAGGGGACACTGAACTGCAGTGGACAAGAAATTAAAGTGCATCAGTAGTTGAAATGAGTGCAGTAAGGCAGAAAGAGAGGGTTAGAGAATGGAGAGATGGATGGCTTGTATACGACTCAGACATTCAAGAGAAGAGACTTAGAAAACAAGAAAGACGGAAGAGATGAATGACTTTGGAAAGAGGAGCCACAGTGAGGAAGACAGAAAAGAGGAAAACAAACCCTGAGAACATGTAAATGAGCAGAGGGACTCTGAGGGAGTGAAACACAGAGGGATCGGACGAGAAGAGAGCAAGACGGTGAAAAAAACTCAAAGATGTGAGAGAGATGGAGAGAGAGAGGGAGAGGAACGTGTGAGATGGAGTGGGTGTTTGCGAAGGCGTCAAACAAAGCTAGCGAAGGGGGGGTACAGGAGGGTGAAGGAGAAGTATCCACTCTAACCGGAGAAAGGGGAAAGGCAACAAGAACCAGAGGCAAACTGGATAAAAAAAAAAAAAAAAAATCCCTCCTCAGTTTTACCCCTGAATGCACCAGCTATCAGCAGAGAATACGGTGCGGGCTGACAGCTAGAGTAGAGGGAACCTTTGAGATGCTTTCTGGCTCCTCGGAGAGCCTGTCAGCTGTGCTCACTATCATCCTCCCCCTCATGCACAGCGGGGAAAATATCAGGAGGAAAGAGCGGCAGCTCCACCAACAAACCAGGAGGGGTCGCCAAATCGCAGTGTCCAACTTTTCTTGGCCTCTCTGTTTGTTTTTCTCCTCAGTGTGTGCCCTCAAGTGTTCTCTCTTCTTTAAATGACTTGTTTTGCTCCAAAAAAGACAGGTGTTTGGTTGAGCTTGAAATAAAATCCAAATTGTGTTGTTTTAAAAGACCTGAGATGTTTTCAAGTCAAGTTTAAGGAATCATCTGGGGGAAAATCAATGTAAATTAGGGCTTTAAAAACCCACAGTATCAGGTGTCTGGGTGCATGTAGCAGCAGTTTCTACAGCCGGACAGGAAGAAGAGTCGGCCTGGTTAATATTTTGTCCTGGCAGCTGGTGGACGGGAAACTATGCAATTCCTTTCCTCAAGCTTTGTTTACACAGTCTGAAGAATCAGACTCAACAGAAGCAATCACTCTTTGGTTCTCTGCTCTAAATCGGTACATTTCACCACTAAATGCAAAACAAACGTTTAAAAAAACAAACAAAAATAATCCAGCAGGCCTGCAGAAGGAGGGCTGGAGGGAAACCGGTGTACATGTGAGTTTGTTGAGTAAGCAGCTCCTCTGTATTTTACAATCACACATACCCACTCAGTCACATGCAAACACACATGAATAATCCCTTAAAATATTCCTGTGAGAGGCTCTGTAATGATTAATATCTGTTTGCTTTCCAGATCAGGACTCAACCATTCAACCGGGTGATTGTTTTCTAAATCTGCAAAGAATATTGACAAAAGGTCAGATCCCAAAACATGTTATTTTAATATTTTTCCTTAATAAAAAAAAGCAGCAAGTTCTCACTTTAAAGAAGCCTGATTATGAATAAAGTGAATAAAACATGAGCCAATGCATCAAGGTTTCTGTCTCCTCATTTAAAATCTCCAAGCTTTCTGCAGGGGAGTCAAATGTGCACTAAAAAAGGAGACCACATAATTTTGTTTCAATAAAGCATGTTAGTTTGTAAATAGGATTTGTAGCCATGGTTAATTCTAACAACGTTACCTGAAAATAAGTAGAAATAATTTAACATCACTTAATTTTTGTTGAGAAGAAAACAGGAACTGCTTATTTTTCACACTTGCAATGGGCAGATGATAAAATATCTGAGCTATTTTGGCCTGGAACAACCAAAATTAATCAATACATAGATATGTTTTGGAAATGCGTGTTAAGATAACAGAAACAATTCAAACGCACCCTTTACAGCACAATTTACACATCTCCTCCTACTGACACATAAAGAATCCATACATGGTATTTTACTATAACAATAACTCCATTGTTGAAACTACAGTAACTCAGAGGGGACAGAATTAATAATTTACTCAACTAATCTACAGCTTACTGCTCTCCCCTGGTTATAACTGAGGTTTTCCAAAAGACTTGGATCCCTGACCTCAAGTTCAAGTGCGGACTCAAGTCTCAATGAGGGTTTGATGGCAGCATTAGAGCTAAAATCAAATCTGCAAACAGTTTTTACCAACCAAAATGACAGAAAGGTGTGCTCCTTTATTCTGATCTAAGGCAAATGTTGCTAGAACAGCCCTCAGGGTAGAGGTTTACATCCCACTAGCTTAGAATGAATTCAAAATTGTTCTATAAAGGTTTATTTCTCCATGAAGAACAGATCAGCAAAGCAATATTATCCTTAAAGTGTTTGTCTACTCCAGACAAATGTCCATAAATTTTCAAAAATGAATCAGTTACTGCAATAAAAACAGTTTTGTGCAAATTGGGATCCGGGTAAATGTATTCAAATCCAAAAATATCCAATGCGCACCCCCTAAACATGTTATTATTCATTTATTACTGTGCATTCAGGCATCACTGTGTTGGAAAGGGTTCTTCCTTTTATCTCTGCACTGACTGCCCTGACTGAGGGGTTTCCCTTTAAGAACCTGCAGGAACCCCTCCTCTGCTCATACACGTGCACCAACTCACCCTTCATCTCGCAACAGTCCTTGGTGACCCTCTGGTCGGCCTTGATTGGCAGCTGGAGCAGGGACTTCAAGTTGGTCATGGAGGTCAGGTGTCCGCCTTGGGGGCCACTTCCAGCAGGGTTGCTGGCCCCAAACTGCGGGCTGGCGGCCCCTGCAGGTAGATCCGGCGGCAGGAGCTGCGTAAGAGGCCTTGACATAACTTTTGGAAAGGGGGGGGAATGATGAAGAGGAGGAGAAGGGGGGAGGTGAAGTGGAGTAAAGCGCAGAGTTGAAGCTCAATATCAAAATGATTCACCTGGAGATTGTAGTTAACGCGCGCGCAGTTAAAAAATAAAATAAAATCAGGTGCGCGGACAGGTGAGGCGTGCGTGAGATTACCACTAAAACCCCGCTTTCCTTTAGCTCATGCAATATAATAAAAATATGCAACAGAGGTGGGGGTTTATTTCCAAAATGGCAGCATGTTGAGCAGGTTTAATTCATCCCTCAGGAGTTGCTACCGCCGCTTTTCTCTGGAAACAAACAGCGCTGCACTTCTGAGCGACTGATCCAAGTCCTGTTTAAAGGTGTGGAAATAAAACCGGTCCAGCTCTGCTGTCAGTCCCACAGGCTGCAAAGATTCAGCAGCAAACAGTCAGAGTATTAATAAAAGCGGAGAGGAAGGCTCCTGACTGTAGTCCAATGTACCGAGCAGATGATTAGAATCAGCAAAATGAAAGAATCTGCGGAGGGAAGTCTCCAAGTTGGAATGATCCACCAGATCTCAGGCTGAATATGGCAGAAATGATCCAATCAAAAAAATAAAAAGATTCCCCCAAAAAGAAAAAAAAGAATAAAATCCAGCAGTGGTGAGAGCCAGCTAGATGATGGCTCTTATTTTCCTTTCCCTCGCGCGCTCCCTCCCTCTCTTACCTTCACGCGCGCGCACACTCGCGCATTTTTTCTTGGTTTTCGCTTTTCTCCCTCCGCCTGTCAGCTGGAACCAACACGGGCCGCTCGCATCACGTCACGGCTCACGGGGGAAAGGAGCTCGGAGGCATGGATCGTTTGCATACTTGACCACGCCCACAAATTAAAGTCACGCCCCCAGATCTACTTCATATTCATTATATATTTGACTGTGGTGCCTTCACGTACACTGAAAAGGTGGAAATTAAGAGTTTCACCTGTCTGGGAGAGAATTATTCTTCTTTATTTGTATTCATTATTCAGTGAAGGTATTCATATTTTTTTTTTATTATTATTATTTTAACAATTTCAACATTTTACATCCTTTAAATTTTGCTTTTCTTTTTTAAAACTTTACCAAAGAAATGACATAAACATATTGTGTATATATTCATTGGCTACTTCATTACTTGACTTATTTCCAGTGATATTATCAAAAAATGATTTCTTATTGGACAAAATTAAAGCAGCAACAACTGGAAATATGTCAATACATCAGTTGAAGATACATTAAAAAAACACCACACTGGATAAGTCCATTTGCTGCACTTGTGCAGAAATATCCAAACAAGCAGCAGTAAATAATTTGAAACAAAAGGCAGGAAGAGCAGTGTGCCAACTTAGCTCTTTTGTCGCTATATTTAACAACTTTTCAGACCCCTCTAGCGCTTTTATTACAAAAAAGCACTTGGAGCCATATCTTGCAACTTTTTTCTGCTACTGGAGACTTTGGTGATAACATATAAAAGCACCGAACTCTGCTCTCCAGAGCAAGTAGATCCGTTACCCTGCCTCCTGCTCTCCTCTATCCTGTCTACGGTCATGATTCATGCAGCTATTAATTCATTTAAATGAAAAATGGAGAATAGATAAGCAGATCATGGCTTGTCTATAGTGGAAAAAAGGGCTCTGTTCTTTACTTTTGCTGTCGTCTTTTTGGAAACACAAGAAGGAGCAATCAGCTTAGTTAGAATGGGCTTAGTGATTGGAAAATCATTGATTCCTTTTAAGACAGCATGAAAAGTCAGCTGAGCACAAAGAAGGGACAAAAGCAAACATAGAAAGGAAAACAGTATTAATTAATAATGTATGTCTATTCTATAAAATAAATTCTTCATCTGTATAATGGGTCTCCTTGTGTGTTGTCTTCTCAATGCAGAGGGCCCTCTGCCTGTCTTTTCCTAGGGCCCCAAATTTCCTAAATCCGCCCCTGATCAGGCCTGTACAATGAGGTTCCTAGACCAAAGCCTCTCCTTAAAAAAACGAACACGGCAGCTTGTTTGTAGTTTAACATAAGGCTCCTTCAGGACTCATAAGACTCATAAGAAGCAAAGTTGGCTGGTCTGAAGAGATAAAGACTGAACTTTTTGCCAGGAGTCATATTTGGAGGAAACCATGGAACATCTCATCATCAGGTCAATACAGTGAAGCATGGTGGTGGCAACATCATGCTGTGGGATATTTTTCAGTGGCAGGAACTGCTAGGAAAAAAAGAAAAGAGGGGGAAATGAATGCAGCAATGAAAACAGCAAATCTTGGATGAAATCCAATGAGCTCTGATCCTCATCTTGGTCATCTACCCAAAGCACATAGCCAAGAACTCCAAGAAGTGGATCAGAAAGACTTTGTGGATGAAAGGGTGGAACCAGAGTCCAGACCTGCATGGACTTGAGCCTCTGAATGATTTGAAAATGGCGGAACATACATCTCCAAACAAACCTGATGAAGCTGAGATGTTCGGCAAAAAAAAAAAATAGGCAAAGGCAGTGAATACTTACGTAAATGGGATTTCTTTATTTTCTAAATTGCAGCAATCTCAAAAGAACGTTTTCTGTATTATCATTATGAGATACTCTTTGTAGACGTTTTCACAAAGAGATTTGAGGTGCCAGTAGTTTTGAAAAAAGAAAAAACTGTAAGGATATAATTAGTTGGAAGTACAATTTTGAAAACATTTTTCATTCAAATCATTTAAATAAGGTGAGGTGGGCTATTTTGCTTAAACACTGTGAAGATGTAGCATGATTTAGAATTTTTTCGGTAAATTTTCAAATTCCAAAAGAAAAATTGCTTAAAACCACTTAAAAATGATCTTAAAGTTAAATTCAGGTTCAATTAAAGCGAACCAAAACGGTAACAATTAACAGCCTCACCATCTTAAACAATAAAGTAATATACATCAGGTCTCTTTAACTTTTTTTTTCAATACGGGTATATTTACATTATGGATTAAAAATGTAAGCATTATAAGCAAAATTATACAGTAATCTCTAAGATAAAAGTTTATAAAGGAAAACATTTTAACATTTCCCACTTTCTTTAAAAGCTCTAGAACCACAACTTATCTGTTATTTTATTTTTTTATTTTCATTTGTTATTTTTCAAAAAGCAAGTACTTAATTTTTGCGAGTTTTACCTGAATGCAACATGTTTAATATAAACACAGGTCCTTAAAGCTCCAGCCAATAGCGCGCCTCCTCAGCTCATCTTCTCTTTATCTCTCCGCCCTTCTTTTCTCACGCTGTCAAGAAGCAAAGAGCAGGACACAAAAGCTGAGGCAAACATCGCGGATGGCTAACATGTTACCAATCAAACGCCAGGAAAAAAGCCTTTCAGTTTCATTTGTGATTTATGAGGAAGAATAAAATAAAATATAAATATTACCAGTGGACGCACTCTGAAATGAGTCTGGCATATTTGAAAATATATTGTCAAATATTACTACAGTAACTACTCTTAGGTGTGTCATTTTGAACAGCTTTATGGGCGTTTTACAACAGCTGTATAATAACCAGCTAAATCTCCTTTAATCTGATAAAGAAAAATCGGTCAGTTTGAACTGAAGCTGCTGCTCGCCTCTCGCGCTCTCAACTCCAAACAATCACATGTTCGCTGCACGCGCCCTAGCAATGCCTACCGGCGACAGGCCGCACGGCGATTGGCTGAATCTGGGTCACTCGCAGCCATTCTCGGCTCCTGATTGGTTGAAAATAGGTCAGAGTCTCCGCCCATAAGCCCTCCTCCAAGCTACAGCCACGTGAGTTTTGTTTAGTTTTTTACTTCTGGATCATACTGACATGCTTGTTGACTCGTTTAAAACAAAACATTTAACAACACGTAAACAAACATCAAAATAGCCAAAGAAAGCATTGTGTGTTTTTTTTTTGGAAAGAATAAAAATATTTACAAGATAGGAAAAAAAAAACTGACAGGAAGTTTGATGACTTTCCAAAAAGAAAACAAAAAATAAAATTTGGTATTTTTTTCTGTAAATTAATATTTCTCAGCAATCTATCCTTAAGGCATCCTGGTAATATTTTGACTTAAGATGCATTAGTTGCCAGTGTGATCAAATAATGTTCCAAGGTATATGACACAATCCTGTTTTCCATAGCTTTATGTGATTGACAGAACAGGTGCAGCAGCTGCTGTGTTTCTGTGAAAATCCCAAGAAAGAGCTTAAAGTTCTCTTGCTGTCAAATTATATTGCTCTTACACACTGAAAACATAATGTTCTGCACTCAAACACTCGAGTATAATAACAATGTTGCCTTAACAGCTTGATGCCTGGTTTAACTTTCAAAAGATTCCAGTTGAAATTGTATTTTGTTTCTTGGACAGAGCAGTTTTTTTTTAGTGTTTAAAGAGCACCATCTAGTGGCTGATTTTTGGTAATGCAGTTGGCCTGTTATTTATAAATATTCACAGCAAAAATAACAACTATTCACTTCTTAGATGTTTGCTTTGTCTTGCATAGTGGAGCTCTAAGCATTGTTGCCTCGAAGCAATATGTTCTTTGATTCACCAGAATAAAATTTGGCTTAAGAAGTGACATTTTAGGTTTTTATTCAAGGGTTTTCAACAACTCACTTTTAGGCAAAGGAGAGTAATTTAATCATAGTACATGTTTTAGTTTTACAGGAGGAAAAAAAAAAAAAGATAAGCACTTCTGGACAGGACCTAAATATGAACTATGTTTACACGCCTTTGTTACAAAAATGTTGCCAAATTGTGGCAATATGAGAACAGATTCAGGAGAAAGAGGGTGAATTATCACATTTATACATACAGTAAACCTTTACCAAAGTCTCAGTTTATCCTGTTCCAGCTTGATAAATGAAAATGGGGAGTAAGAAAAAAACAAACAAAAAAAACTAAATCAAATGATATTTATATATAATAAAATATAATACTAATTGTACAGTACAGTCATTGTTTCAGTTGTCCTTTTAAATCCTCAACAAGTTAACAACTTGAACGGAGTTTGCGTTTCATTTACACACCTTTTTAAAAAAGTAACAAAAGTAGTGTACAGTATAAAAACATGGTCACCCTTTCTGTTTGTTTCAACTGCTTTTCAGTAAATCATCTGGGATCAAACTGTGCCATTTCCGTGAGCTACTTGGTATTAGAGCCTAAAGACTTGAATTTATATGGAAGGGAACGCCTCGGTATAAAAAGTGAGTCTGTTCACTGTAACACAGAGCAACAAATAAGGACTATACGATTTCACTGTGAATGTCAGAACGAACAAACTGATACATCAGCCCTGTAGAAAGCATCCAGTTCCTGTCGATGCACAAATATAGAGGAAGGGCTTAAGAAAAAAAGGACAGTTGCTGATGATTTTCAAATGGATGCTACAAAAGAAAACACATGATCTTTAGTTCCCTTACCTTAAAGGAACAGGAGGCAGATAGTTGGGGTGGTTTTGATTTTAGGCCTTTAGAAGTCAAAGTCATTTTATCAACCACCTCTGCTATCTTACTAGGATTGTTTACAGATTTCTCCAGGTAAGAGGGTGGGGATATTCTGGTAGTTAAACTAAACCTTCCCCAATGTTTCACCCCTATTTTGTTAAAAACTTGCTAAGCCCTCAGGTCATTTAATAAAATATAAACATCAAAAACAATCTAGTCTAAAAAAAGACAAGTCTGTGTTCACTGACTGTACTCAGTCAGAACTGTTGATCTCTCAGCCTGGATCAGACCCGGAACGGTCAGCGGGCTTTGAGAACGGTCGCTAGCTGACGGTGATCTCATCCTTGACAGATCCCAGTTCTCAGCCGCACTGACGGCACTGGTCCCCCGACAGGAGAACCTGTGGCGGGCCAGGAGACACTGGTTCCAGAAGCGGTGTTGACATTTGTGGCACTGGAATGAAGCTTGCTTGAGATGCCGACCCCTATGTTTCAAGGCTTTGTGTAAGGAGGTGGTGCGTCGCCCACATGCCTGGCATCGCAGTCGTGCGTGACGGCCTGAGTTTCTCGGAGGGTGTCTGACGGCGTGGTGCACCAGCAGGGAGCCCTGTTTGGCATATGTGGCACTGGGGCAGATGGGGCAAGGGAACCGTTTTAGAGGGATGTCCATAGAGGTGAGCCCAGTTACTCTGACCGCTCCCCCGCACCATGACTTCACTTTCATCACTCCTCCTTTTATCCTCAACTGGGCCAAGAGCTTTTTCCTGTTTATATGTGCCTGTAGCTTGCCCTTCTTCCTCCTCAGAATCATCAGCTTCCTGCGAGTGTCTTTACTTAAAGGGACCCCCACCAGCTTCCCGTCTCTCATGATGCTGTGAATTACTATGCGCCTTTTTTTCTTTCTGTGCTTTCTTGTCTGTCCATGGCGCTTTTGGAAGTTTTTGGAGCGGTAATGAAAAGGGTGCTGCAACTGTTGTTGTTGTTGCTGCTGCTGTGGTGGTTGCTGCTGCTGTTGCTGCTGCTGTTGCTCAGCAACTCCTTGTGGGATGTGGGATGAGCCTGCGTAGTTGGAACCTGAGCCAGAATCGTAAAAGAGTGGAGAGTATCCGGACGGTTGAGACTGGTTGACGCGTTGGCCGTTGCGGTCAATGCCGTGTTGTGACAGCTTGTGCCGCACCAGGCTGTTTGAGTATGCAAAGGCTTTGCCACATACTTCACACCGAAAAGACTTCTCTAGGCCCACCCCGCCGCCATGGACAGTCTGTTGATGTGCCGTTAGGTGGAAATAGTGTCGAAATGACTTCCAACAAACTGTGCAGGTGTAAAGCCGCTGCGAAGGCGTGCCGGACGTTGGAGACTTTTCTTCTTGGGAGCATGAGGAGAAGTAATCAGAGTTTCCAGAGTTGGCAACTTGATTGATTGCAGCAGCGGCAGCTCCGCCTTTTATCCTCCGGCCTGTATTGTCGATTTCACCCTTCCTGTGTAGTTTCCCGTGCCGAACGAGGCTCTGTGCGTAGGCAAACAGCTTCCCACAGAGATTGCATTTGTAGTTCTTTTGACCGGAATGCACGGTCAGATGCTTGGTGAGGTGGAAAGGTTCTCGAAACATTTTGCCGCACACTTCACATGCGTGAGGCTTTTCTCCAGTGTGAACCCGGTTGTGGCGCCTCAGTGTCTCTGCCCTTCTGAAACGCTTACCGCAGATCTGACAGCCATACGGCCTCTCCGAGCCGTCCCCTGGAGGTGCTGGACTCCTCCTCCTCCTCACAATCGTGTTTGGGTCTCTTTTCTCTCTGGGTTTTCGTGGCCTCCTGGGCTTCGTTTGGGGCAGGCTGGGGTGTGTCAAAGGCATGGTTGAACCATTTAGGCTAGCTGATGAATGCCCTCCCATGTTGCCAAACCCCAGCCCCCCAAGCAGACCTCCAATGATGTCTCTCCTTTCTCCTTCTCGACTCTCTGGGTTAATGTCACAAGAAGCAGCGGCGGCAGCAGCAATGGCTGACATTGCATTGCTAGTGACCTCATCCTCTGAATCCTCCAGAAGGGCGGATAAAGGAAGGTGAGGCTGTTGAGGCTGCTGCTGAGGCTGCTGCTGCTGTTGATGATGATGATGCTGCTGCTGGCTCTGAGGATGAGGATGAAGTGTTGGAGCTAAAGGGGCTTTCCGGAGAGTCTGGCTGGTCATGTCATTACCTAAAGTATTCTCAGAGGGATAAAGTGTGGAAGACTGTGAACGCCTGTAGTCATCGATTCCACTGTTGTATTGCGCCTGGTTCTGGTATCGATTTCTGGAAAATTCTGCTGAATACTTTTCTTCGGTCATGCCAGCTTCATCATTTGAAATTCCCACTCCAGCCTCTCCACTATTTCCCAGTTTACTGCTGCTCGGGTTGGCTGTTGCATTGCCCCCACTGTTGGCCCGGTTTTTTGAGCTCCGTGGGGGTTTCCCACAGGAGCCTGAAGCAGCGTGGTTGAGCAGAGAGGTGCTTTCACGGAAACAACGGCCGCATGCCGGGCAGCGGAAAGGCTTTTCGTCATGGATTTTCTCATGTCTTGTGAGTGACTCCCGGCGATTGAAGGACTTTTGGCAGATGCTGCAGACAAAAGGCCTGTTCTCAGAGTGGGTGACACTGTGCTGGATAAGGTGACCTCTCTTTTTAAACCTCTTCCCACATTCACCACAGCAGAATATCCTCTCTGGGCTGGGAGAGTTACAGTCTGACTTCCTGCTCTGGCTTTCCGGTGTCAAGCCATGGCTTCGGAGATGCCTCCGCAGGCTGGACAGGTGAGTAAAGGTTTTACCGCATTCACCGCAGTGGTAGAGGGATTCTGGTTCTCCCTGACCAGACGAGCTGTTATGGCGTTCTTGTGATTTCGAGAGTTGTTGGTTGCCATTGGCTACAAGCACAGAAGTGGAACTTGAAGATGTGGGGGCAGATGGGGATGATGAGATGGTGGACGAGGACTGCTGCTGAGAGGAGGACGAGAGGAGAGAGGAGTGCTGTGTCTCACTGCTGATGCCACTTAGTCCTACACTCCCAGATCCCCCTCCCACGAGACCTGAAGAGGGGCTCTGAGTGTGCCCACCCGCGCTGCTGTTATGGCAGCTAGTTCCACTGCTGCCGGTGTGGCTGTGGCCGCTACTTTCAGCTTTCCTCTGTGGCAGGTAGCCAGCCATCGCTTTCTTCCTCCTGCTTCCACCAGTTGAGGATGATGCAGACGAGCTGTCTCCAGATTTTGCTGCATCTTCTTTAGATAGTGAGAGATGCAAGGGCAGAGGGAGGGGAAGGCCCGTCTCTTGCTGCATTAATGACGCTATCTGGTTTGAGGAGAGCACCGGAATGCTTTGGAAATCAAAGCTACTCAATGGGGCAGGTTGGGGGGCTGGGTGGAGGGGATGCGGGTGGTGAGTGTGGCTGTGTGGATGAGATAAGGAATGAGGGGTCAGCTGCTGTTGCTGCTGTTGTGGCTGAGGGGCGGAGTGGCTATGAGAGGAGTGGAGGGCAGGGGGAGGGGCCAGCGCTGAGTTGGATTCGGTTGCTCCCTGGCCGAGACCCAAACCCAGGGGGTTGTGAGTTCCCTGCTGGACCAGGAACTGCTCCAGGCCGCTATTTGGTGGGACACCAGAGAGAAAGTACTGGTTGGCAGCGAGCATACAGCTGAACTGTTGGTGGAGGCTGCGGGGATCAGACTGACCAACCAGGGGGACCGCAGTACTGCCGGAGGGGTTATTAGAGGCTGAAGATGAGGTGGAGGGAGAGGGCGAAGATGAAGATTGACCAGGAGAGGGTTGAGGCACAGAGAGACCTGGGTGCAGTGGGGGAGGCGGTGGAGCAGCTGTGACACCAATGACCCCCGTGGTCCCACCAGTACTGCTTCCAGTGAAGTCGAAGCGTCCCATTCCGGAGTGGAGCTGCTCCTGAGCAAGTGCTGCCTCGGCTGGATGGAAAGGCCGCAAAAACTGGGGGTAACCAGGTGAACTCCCGCTGCCACCACTGCTGATCTTACTGGACTTTCTGGAGCTGTGAGAAGATGAGGACGACTGGCTTTGATGGGAAATGGATGGAGGAGGGGCGCTCATTTTGGCAAACAGTGACGAAGAGTCAGCGAAGGCATTGCTTCGAGAGCTCTGGAGGGATCCCAGCCCCAGACCGGACAGCAGGCTTCCAGAGGTGTCTGTAGAGGACTGGTGTTGCTGCTGCAGCTGCTGCTGATGCTGCAGTTGGACCTGCTGTTGGTGGCTCAGCTGTCTTTCCAGCCCGAGGCCTTTAAACTGGTGGGCTTGGTGTCCACTCAGCATCTCTAGGATGTCCATGGGGTACTTGCTGAACTGAAACATCTTTCAATACAACTGTGGTATTTCCACTCTATTCACCAATTGTACAAAACAGCAGAGCCCTTAGAAACCTCTGGGATTGTCCAGCTTCTGACCTGGCCCAAAACTTTGAAAGAGCCACTTTAGTCCAGCATCAATTAATGATTGATCAGCTCTCATCAATGTTTGACTAAGCTTATTTTGATTAGGGAGTGAAGCCTTCTAACTTGAAGTGCTTCAAGTGAGAAGCTATATAAAGGGTCATAAATAGGAATTTATTAAATTACATAAAAGTCTGTAGTGTGTCTATAAAGTGTTCCATTTTTGTAAGCGGACTTAGGGACCATAAATCAGGCCATGCGGTTCCTAGGAGTGGAGTGTGTTGTTTTTTTCAGAGGAGGATCAACCATCTCTTCAGCAGCTTTCAGTCCTCAGATGCAGACCTCTGTGCAGCCTGAGAAAAACCAAAAAAAGCAAAAATAACACACCATTAGTTATGCTGTACTTTGATGTGCTCATTTTATTGCTTTAGTGACTAAAGATTGATGCCCAATGACTTAGAAAATATAAAAAAACGGATCTGAGCACTTAATGATTACATTAGACAACTTATTATTACTTATTTAGCCTTAATAAGCAATTTAGCAAAATAACCTAAATGGTTATACACACTCCGCTTTGTTTTTAAAAAATATAAACATAAAAACTATAACCGTGGATGTCTGGGGGACAGTGATTCGCCTACATGTTATGAATGCTGGCGTACCATAAGGAATTCATTATGAACATTTTAGTTTAGTTTGTGCATTCAAGTCGTCGCCCATAGGAAGACGTTACTTGGATATAACCTAACCGAATATCTTCAGCACAGCTCCAAATGACACAAAACTCATATGGTTGAGTAGAACATGATGTAATAACGTAAAATCAAGGACCCAATGTAAAAACAAAAACGGCATTCCCCTTTAAATGTAAAATGTTCAGATATTTCTTTTACGATTTTTATATAATTATAGCTCTAAGCGGGTTGCTCTGACAGCTAAAAGCATATTTTATAGTCTCTATACTCCAGTTAACGGTTAATCAATTACTAAATTAGTTGACGATTAATCATTAACTATCTGATTGTTTCCGCACTAATCTAGTCCAGCACTAGTGGCTCGTATTTTTTGACTGTGGGCTGACAGGAAAGGGGGTATGAGAGAGAAGGAGAGACATGCGGGAAAGGACCACATGCCGGATTCGTACCCTGGTCGGCCGCGGCGAGGACTAAGGCGTAAATATCGGTAAGCAGAGATAGCAGCTTCTTACGGGCCCACAACCTCTTAGGGGCCCCATCACCAACACCTGGTGGGTTCCATTCAAGGTGCGCAGTCACTACTTTTCCGGAAATTATGTGTGATCATATACTACTGAGAATTGCATAATTGCATCTTCTTGGCCAATTTGTGGAACTGTCGCCGTATCCTGAACCTTTGAAATGTCGCAGTGTTCCGGACCTTTATCACGTGTTGTACTTCATATGGGGCCCACCCAGATAATGTTGCCTATTGTCGTGTTGTTACGCCATTGATCCTAACCACTGTGCCACCTACACACCCGTGTCCATGTTAAATGGATCTGACCTAGTGACCAACCGAAGCTCAACTCAGACACCAATTGCAACTATGGAACAAAAGTTAAAAAAAACTTGTCAAGTGCGAGACCGAACAAAAGAGTGTCGCAGTCCCGTATTTTGGCCACAGGTGGCAGTATCAATAGAAGACTCTGCAATGCCTCTTTAATATTACAGCAAAGGGATGGACGACTCAGCAAACATACATCAGTTGTTTTATAACAAAAAAAGAATGTCACGAAGAACCCAAGAGTAAAAAAACAACAACTTTCTAATTGGATTTTATTCAGATTGGCAGTAACGCAGTTAAAATAAGCATCATGTGTTGACTCCCATTGATTTTCCCTTTCTATGCCTTAACCCTGACAATAACACTAACCCGCACATTACAAGTGCATACCTGACCTTAACCTGAACTCCATTCACACCTGAGTCCCAAATCTAGCTATTAGCATAAAAAGGAAGTGAGGACCAGTGAAATTTCCTCACTTTGGTACAAACGGCCCTCGATTTGTTGGTGCAACAGAAAAAACTGTGCTCACTGATGCCAAAAAGAGGAGCACCCACACACGAGAAAAGCATCCATCAAGTGAGGGTTAAAATCAGCGCTTATTTCTGACCTTTCTCTAGCTTTCTGCAAAGCACTTGACATAGAAACGTCTCCCTTGAGACAAAAAAAGCACAGAGGCAAAACGGCTTTGTTTAAAGCTTGGCAGAAAGACAGCAGAGCCTCACGAAGTGCACTGATTTAACTTAGAAAGATCGGGTAAAAATACTGCATGAACTTTGTGCTGAAATCAGCGATACAAAGACTTGCTCCCAGTCAAAAAAAAAACTAAAGAGATCCAACAGCTAAATTAAATGGTGTAGAAATAACAGCAGGAGAACAGGAACTTTCAGGAAAAAATGGGAGACATTCTCCTGTTAATGAGGGATGCTTGGGGAGTGTGAGCTAATCCTTGTTTTAAAGAGCTGCAAAATGGTTCCTTGGCTGACTTTTAGTTTCTCTATAGGCCCCATAAATGCTCAAATGCAGACTTAAATGCCTCTATCAACACAAGCGGATGCTGATTATATATCAAAAAAGTTTCTGTCATATGAAATAATTTTTAATAAATTTTCTAGAACTACAACCTCAGTGTCAAAAAAATATAGGGCTGCAACTCACGATTATTTTGCAAATCCACTAAACTGTCGATCATTTTTTCAATTAATCAAATAATAATTGGATAACAAAAGGTTCCTATAAGAAGAATTTTTTTAATGAAACTAAACCAGTTAAAACAAAACAATTTCTACCTGAGGTGCTCTAGACAGAGCATACTGACAGATGAAATATTTTTTATCTTTTATAAATTTATCTTTTCTTTTTTTTTTTTTTTTTTTTGGCATAATTGCTGCTGTAAGTGGGTTGCTCTGTCTTCTAAAGGTATGTTTTAGAGCAGGGGTGCTCAAGAGCTACTTTCCTGCAACTTTTTGATGCACCCCATTTTTAACACACCTGAATCAAATCAGTGGCTCATTACCACACCTCTGCTGGGCTAAATGAGGGGATTGAGCCTTTAGATTCAGGTGTGTTAGAGAAGAGCTGCATCTAAAAGTTACAGGATGGTAGCTCTTGAGGACTGGACTTGAGCAGCCCTGTTTTAGAGTTTCTATACTCCAGTTAACGAATAATAGATTATTAAATTAGTTGAGATTATTTCAATAATCAATTAATCACAATTTGATTAATTGTTTAAGCCTTTAAAAATGTCTAAACTGAAATCAGTTAAGTCGAGTTAACCAATTCATCAGCTTCAATTAGTTAAAAAAAACAAGGAGTAAAAATCGGGCTGCACAGTAAAACACTGATATGTTTTTCAATGGCCATCAATAGAAAATATTTCTAATATAACTGTAGGAGCCAAAGTGTATGTTTATGGGTTTCTTTATCGTTATGGTTGAACAGGTGTTCAGATTTTTCTACACCTGAGGTGATTGCTTGGAGGCTTGGTCTTTTGTAATTTACCTGTTGCAAGTGTAAGGGGTTTGTTGCAAACTTGTCTGTTGACCGTCATTCTTAACCACCGTCATTTAATTCATGACTTTTAATGTAATTTCACATCATTTCTCGATTCTGACTATAAACTATACATTTTTGATGGAACCAAAGTTTGTCATGCGTTTTAAAATAAGAATGCAAGTGGAAATGGAATGTGTCATGGAATTTTTGGGAGGCGCATCACAGAAAAAAACCTACTCAACCAGCAGCATTGTTTTAGATTGAAGTCACTACAAGATTTCTCTCTAATTTCACTCATATCTGATAGAGAACCACACAGCATTCCTGGGGATGCAGCCTCTCAGCTCCAAGCTCAGCAAGGTTAATGGTAGGACCGAGTTCTAATCAAAGGTTATTGAAATACAGTTAAAGTCTAAATTTAAATGTTTCCCTTTTCCCTTTGGTTTTATTACAAATAGATGAAACAAAAAAACGTATAACTATCGATGTCTACTAATATTCCATTAGTTAATATCAAGGCATTAAAAATGTATTGCATTTAGGTGTGTCCGGTTCTGATACTGATATCGGAATTTGGTCCAATATCCCGCAAAAAACAAATACCTGAATATATCAGTCGGCATCTAATCTCTGACATAAAAAACCATTTGTTGTAGACAATTTTTTTGTTGAAGTGAAATGATCAAACCTTTTCTAACAAGCCACACTCAGAAAATGAGTAATAAAAGTATGTGTGACTCATGCTGGTATATTGTTTTGGGTAAATGTTTGTGTTGGTCAATACTCAAAACTGCAATATGGGTATTGTATTAGAAATTACAAAGGTGTATCCAAGCATTAAGAATTGTTTTCTCATACTGTCACACTTTTTCAGCCTCGTTAAAATGTGTCTCATCTTTTTGGTCAAGGGTTTTTCTCTGCAAAAACAAAGCATACAGAGAGAGCTCCATAAAGACAATGCCTAACAATGAAATCCATTTGTTATCAAATAGGGTCTGAAACATTAAAGGTGTAGAGGAGGATTTTCGGGAATTTTTGATAAGACCCGCCCTTTGCACTTTAAAGAAAAATGCACATATGCAAATCTATAGCCACTCCAGAGAGGGAACGCCTATTAAACGTATGTGAGAGCATGCATGAGCCCATTTCTCGTCTGCACACTCTGTTTAAAAGTTGCTGTTCTCACAGCTCATACAAGCTTATTTTGTCCGAAAGTCCGCACTAACTCCAAATCCCTAAATCACTTTATAGAGCGGGGACTATATATTAGACTTTATAGCAAACTCAGTTAACTGACCATTCAGACAGATGATCACTTTCTGCTCTGTGTTGGTCACGTAACTCCTCCTCCAATGCGCAGTGCATCCGAGATCTTTGTTATTAGTCGCCGCTGTCAGGTAGTCACAGCCTATGGTGACAGCGGGCCGCTGTGACAGCAAATCCCATAATGATTTGCAAGGAGAGCTCTCTGCTCAAAGCATTCCTGGAAATTTCTGCCTCGTCTGAGTCCTTTTTTTTCTTCTCATACACTTCGTAGAGACTTTTTCTCTAACGACCCTCAGCTATTTTCAAAGAACCGAGGTGAGAAAGCTGAGCTTCAGTGGCTGTCTGAAACCGTAGCTCACCATATATATATATACGGCTGAAAGCGCGCATGCGCACAAAAAGACAAGCACTGGGGAAAAGCACGTAGGACGGCCTTACATACACAAATTACCAGAATGATTGACAATAAGGAGGACCACTCATTTAGATGATCCACCTAGAAATAAAATATCGTCCTCTATACCTTTAAGTAATGCATTTATATGACAAATCAACACCAAATACCTCCATCCTAAATAAGGTACTTAAATGCTGATATTTCACTCTGTCTGGGGAAAATAAAATAAGAGGGAAGCAAAGCTAAACCACATGCATGTTAAGGAGAAAGCCAGCCAGCCTCCCTTTACAGCCACCATTGCTGTGGTTTTGTTATCTTGTCTGAGCTGCAGATTAAGCACCAGTCTTCGCAAAACACACATACCATAATTTCTTTAATACTATGTGTAACACGCATCAAGTTACTTGCTTAGTATTTTCATAGATTTGCATTCAAATATTTCAGCAAATGATTCAGTAATAACAACAGAAGGAATAATTCCCTTCTACATCTGCAGCAATGAGTCTGTTTACATGAATGCTGTCTGCATCTCACCGGCTAATCCAAAGATCCGAAACTCCAGCTGGGTGTTAAGAAGATAGTGAAAAAAACCAACCCACTCTGTCCAAACTATCACAGCACGGCGACCTTAGGAGAGAAGAATAACAAGGGTCAGATGAGACAAATAAGTCAACAAACCCTGCTAGCATCTGTCAATATCCTCAGCTAGCTAACTGCAACAAACCTAATTCTAGACAAAAAGGAGAAACGCATCAGAAAAAACTCGCTGCATCTGTATAAAGTGAAACACTCAATCACAAAGTTTATTTTGAAATATATTTAACTGTATATAAGGCACATTGGTGAAATATCTCAGTAGAAGACGTATCCCAGTCAGAAGCTAGATGCTAACATATTAGCAGAGCCGTTAGCTTCTCTAAGCTAACGTCAGTCCTGCTGGAAGCTGTTATTGTTTATGTCCTTACCTTCCAAAATATAAACCCCGGTGGGAGAAAAGCCGCTCACAAACACGGCGGTAAAAGTGTGGGGACATGAGGGAGGACGTGCGCTCTGAAAGCGGGCTCCCTACTGCCTGTCACCGGGGCCTTTTCCTCCATCCATGGAAAAGCACCGTGAAAGGCCCGGGATCTCCATCGGCCCAGGAGGGCTACAGCTTCTTTTTACTCGCTAACAAAACCGCTGGCCTGCTCCCGTATCACCATTGTCTGAGTCCGAAGTCCCACAGATCCAATCTCTCACTGCCGCTCGTCGCCAAGGCGTCCTCTTTATTTAGTCTCAGTCGTGGTTTTCCTGCTTTTCTTTCCGGCTTCCAGCCTCCCTCCCCGCCTCAGCTGCTGTAGGTGTCCCCCCTCCGCAGACGACGGCTCCCCCGATGCTGTTGCTGCTAACGGTAAAATGGTAGTTTCCTGTCTGCATAATGGTTCCGGGTAGAGCCGAGCAAAGGTAAGCCTGTCCTGGAGTGTGCACCGCTATGAGGTCCGATCCAGCATGATGCTCATGCATTAATCAAAGTGTGTGTCTGGGTGTGTGTGTGAGCGCGTGCTCATGCAATAAACGTGTAATTACGCGCTTTGTGACACTGCATGTCATTAAGTTCACGTGTGTGTTTTCACACCAAGGGTGTAAAATGTTAATTAGTCCATTAAATATGTCATTAAGGCGCATGCCACAGAACATTGTTGTGCGCGTGAGTTGTTGTGTAATGGAAGTTTGTGTGTCAGGTATCTCCTTTGCATTTCAATTAAATGTTCTTTAATTGTGCACTTAGAAAAAAAAAATATTTTGTAGAAGGAACATTTTAGAAAAGGTTGAAAAAATAACGTGGCCTTTTTAAAAGGTGTGCCTCATATTTATTATTTCTAAATCTTATGTTAGAGCACGGGCGGAGCTAGATGGGGGGCCAGAGGTGGCCATGGCCACTGTTATCCAATCATCGGCCATTTTTTTCACCCTCTAATATTGACTGTGCCAACAGTTATACTTTCAGTGGGAATGTTCAAACTTATTAATCATTTTAATTTTTCATATATTAACAATTAGTTGACAACTAATATGGTGTAGTTAATTATGCACATCAAAATACTAACATTCATTTTGATATGTACAAAATTGTAAAAGTAAACTAGGAGTCTTCTGTGAAATCATAGATAAAAAAAACTAATTTGATAATAACCTAAAAATCAATTTAATTTACATATTAGTACGTGTAAATATAAATTTTATGCAGAACAATTTTTGATAAAAGTGGGTAAGTTTGTGTGTCAGGTAAAATGAAATTTTGCCCCAGAAATTTTGTCCACTACCATTTTCTACCTTTTCATTAGACATGGATGTTTAACTATATGTGTCTATTTGTTAGCAAAGGCTGTAGTAAAGTATAGGTTGTCTTTATTTAGAAAACATGGATGCTGTGCTGGTTCCTGTTGGAACAGGGTAGAGATTCTGGGGCCTATCCGCTTTCGGCCACCCCTCAGTGTACATTGGTTTTTGATTGGCCACCCCTATTGAAAATTTCTGGCTACGCCTCCGTGTTAGAGAAATAAAATACAACGTTTAGACTTCTGATCAATAGGCAAAGTATCACAGATAATGAACTAAAAAACAAAAAAATTAGGGAATGCTTCCCTAGTACTATGTTTCCCCTTATATCTAATCCAAATGTTATATTTGTTAAAGATGAAAGATACAAGGGACGTTCAATAAGTAATGTCCCTGGCCCACTTCCAGATATTTGATCGAGCTGAAATTCTGCATGTGAAATATTTTAAATCTCTATAGATTAAATAGCAAATTACAGCTCTGAAATAAATGTGGTTTCTGATTTACTGGTGTTAAAACTGAGTGAAGTCTGAGTTTTTGCATTTGAAATGACCCACACAATGGGAGACTTTTGATCAAATAAAAGTAACTTATAGTGATAATGTCCCATAATATAACCTTGTAAAACATTTTGCAAGGTCATATAACAGGCATCATGGGGGAGCCGTGGGTGAGCGGTTAGGGTGTCAGACTTGGATCCCAAAGGTTACCGGTTCGACTCCTGACCCGCCAGGTTGGTGGGGGGAGTAATTAATCAGCCCTCTCCCCCATCCTCCTCCATGACTGAGGTACCCTGAGCATGGTACCGTCCCGCCACACTGCTCCCTTGGGGCGCCATTGAGGGCTGCCCCCTTGCACGGGTGAGGCATAAATGCAATTTCATGGTGTGCAGTGTTCACTTGTGTGTGCTGTGTCACAATGACAATGGGAGTTGGAGGAGTTTCCCAAAGGGCTTTCACATCATCATCATTTTAAATTCATCAAAAGTCTCCCGTGGTGTGAGTCCTTTCCAATAGAAAAACCAGATCACTGCTCGACGCTCAACAGGCTACATTTCAGACTTTACTCAGTTCAAACACCTGCACGTCAGAAACCACAAATAGTTCAGAGTTGTAATTTGCTATTTAATCTATAAAGATTTAATTAACGTCACAGGCAAAATTTCAGCTCGATCAAACATCTAGAAGTGGGTCAGGGGCATTACTTATTGAACACACCTCGTAAAGAGGCTCCTGTATGCACCTTGATGCTCTATCTCTCCAGTTCTTTTCCCTGAAATGATATCACTCAGGACAAACTCTTTAAATAACACTTCAAAACTTATATGTATTAAATAACCAGGGGACATGACAACAGATTCTGAAATAAATTGTAATCTTACTCAGATCTCAAATTCAAACTATATTTCCCTACTTTTCAAAAGGAACTCTGCCACCTTTTCTTATCTCTAAAATTCACGGACAAAGAACAAGATGCAGAACTATATAATATGATAAACATTTTGGAACTGATGAGACATTTCTAATGAGTTTTTTTTATTTTTTTATTTTTTTCAGGTGTTTTTTTTTGTTCTGTTCTTCTTGTTTTGTTCTTTCATCCTTTCTGTAAATATGGAAGCAACCTGGGTCAGCTTTTCCAGGTTTTTCAGGTTTCTGATGCCGATACCATGTCTGTTGTATATGATGGTTGTTATAAAAAATAAAAAATTACAAAATATAAGGTCTGATGATTTGGTCTTTTCCTGGGAATTGAAAATCTGACTTTTCCATTTAAAAATTCAAACTTAAAGAGGTCAAAGGTCCCCTTAAGAAGGTCTTTATTCTTTAGCTCTACTTGGAAATATTAATGTCATCTACTTGTTTCTTATAATATGCACTGAGTCTTCATTTTTGCATTTTTTGGTTAGGGATTAAATCTTTAAATTGAGCGACTTCAAATCAAAGGGATAATGTCCATATTTCTGCAATAGATTTGTATTTTAAGTTAGAGCTAATATCATGTAGTGACACAACACTGAATATTTCAAATTGATTTCCTCAGTGTTCTGTGCTCTTTCTGCTTGTATGTAGGATATTCCAAGTTTATAGACAGAAATAGAACAGTAATGCCCCCTAAAGTTGGAAATTTGACACTCAATGTTGCATTCGGGCCCCTAGGTTCAGTGCGTAACGTGTTTTTATGTTTTACATAAAATATAAAAGCATCTTTATATGTTTGCATGTAATTCATTTATTATATATATTTTTTTCTTGAAACTCTGACACGTCATATTTGCATCTGTTCCTTTGGCAGATGAGCTCCTAAAAGTGAGGGAATTACCTTGTTAAAGGATGATAATTGTCACATCTCGCTGATTTTCCAGCTAGCTGCTGAAATGTTATCATATATATATCCCATGTGTCTTTTTCTTCCTTTGGCACATTCTTCTTCTTTGACTATTTGAGCTGATGTAACAAGTAAACTGTGAGATCAATAAATGCAATCAATCAATCACAGATCCAAACTCCAAAAAAAAAAAAAAAGAAAATTGTTTTTCTTTCTTGTTTACCTATGTATTTATTTTTAAATGAAACATTTATGTGCCCTAGTTAGAGTTCATTGTTATACTGCTATATTCCCTTATGTGTAGAAAGAGCGACCATTTGAGGTTTCAGAAGCACAACTGATCTTTTCTTTCTTTTTATTGGATCAAACGAACTGCAGTGGTGTAGGAAGCAAGATGTCATCCTGCAACCAGACCTTCACCGGTTGGTCTGTGTCTCTTGTTGTATCCTTGGGTGAGACACTTTATCCACATTGCCTACTAACTGGGGTCAGAGGGCCCCGTGGCACCTGTAAATTGCAGCCTTTTTCTGTTTCTGTCAGCATACCAGCATAGCAGACAATCTCCTGCAGTTCAAACCGAGCACCAGTATGGGGAAGAAAGGTGATTTGTAAAGTGCCTTGAGATGACATGTGTTGTGAATTTGGCGCTATATAAATAAACTGAATTGAATTGAATTTGAGTGACTTTGAACGTGGCATGATTGTTGGTGCCTGAAGGGCTGGTCTGAGTATTTCAGAAACTGCTTATCTACTGGGATTTTCACGCACAACCATCTCTAGGGTTTACAGAGAATGGTCCGAAAAAGAAAAAACATCCTGTGAGCGGCAGTTCTGTGGCCGGAAATGCCTTGTTGATGCCAGAGGTCAGAGGAGAATGGCCAGACTGGTTCGAGCTGATAGAAGGGCAACAGTGACTCAAATAACCACCCGTTACAACCAAGGTGGGCAGAAGAGCATCTCTGAACGCACAGTACGTCGAACTTTGAGGCAGATGGGCTACAGCAGCAGAAGACCACACCGGGTGCCACTCCTTTCAGCTAAGAACAGGAAACTGATGCTACAATTTGCACAAGCTCATCGAAATTGGACAATAGAAGATTGGAAAAACGTTGCCTGGTCTGATGAGTCTCGATTTCTGCTGCCACATTCGGATGGTAGGGTCAGAATTTGGCGTCTACAACATGAAAGCATGGATCCATCCTGCCTTGTATCAACGGTTCAGGCTGGTGGTGGTGGTATCATGGTGTGGCGAATATTTTCTTGGCACTCTTTGGGCCCCTTGGTACCAATTGAGCATCGTTGCAACGCCACAGCCTACTTGAGTATTGTTGCTGACCATGTCCATCCCTTTATGACCACAATGTACCCAACTTCTGACTTTCAGCAGGATAATGCGCCATGTCATAAAGCTGGAATCATCTCAGACTGGTTTCTTGAACATGACAATGAGTTCACTGTACTCAAATGGCCTCCACAGTCACCAGATCTCAATCCAATAGAGCATCTTTGGGATGTGGTGGAACTGGAGATTCGCACCATGGATGTGCAGCCAACAAATCTGCGGCAACTGTGTGATGCCATCATGTCAATATGGACCAAACTCCCTGAGGAATGCTTCCAGCACCTTGTTGAATCTATGCCACGAAGAATTGAGGCAGTTCTGAAGGCAAAAGGGGGTCCAACCCGTTACTGGCATGGGGTACCTAATAAAGTGGCCGGTGAGTGTAGTTTAAAACACTTTGAGGTCCTTGGACTTAATAAAGAGCTATACAAGTACCATTTACCATCTGCTTTAGCTAATAGCTAAATAAGCTGAAAGATAACATCCTAATGACTGAAGACAATGTGCGCCCAGTAAGGGTTAATATGTCTCAATATTTATTTTGAATCATTCTCATTAATTTCCTAGAAAATGTCTTCTTTCCTGATCTAAAAACATGCAATGAATCATCACAGACAAGGTTCAGTTGGATACATTTTTTATTGTTATCATTTAAACAGTATGATTTCTACAAATGCAAGAATTGATCACCAATAACAAAAGGGTTGCACATCTGTGAGACCTTTGTTGGGATATTCTTGGAAATAGACATATAAGGGAATGTTATAAATAATTTATCATACAGTTTGAGGTATGCAGAGTAGCTTTGAGAATACAAATATGCCCATGCCCCCCTCCCCAACCCTGGGTTAACACACTCACACATACATACAGGCACACAGCTTCATTAAGGGAACCATTAACTCAACATGGATTACAACAACAGTAAAAGACCTCTGAAGGGATGAGGAGACATGAGTTAGACTTCAAAAAATTTCATAAAGTTTCAACATCTTCTTTTTTTCTCCTCCTAGTTCATTAAAAACAAGTAAGGCAAGCAACAACATATTTTCAGCAACAACGTTTGTTGCGTCAAAACATGAAATCTATGTTTGATGCCCCCTGCAAGTACCACAACTTTTCCGACTTCTTTACCCCTAAAACTCTTTTCAAAATGAGCACAGATGAATAAGCTGCATTAAAAATCGAATCAAACATCAGCGACACAAACTGATGAACCATGCCATAAATCAATGCACTCAGTTCTTTAAAACTACTAAAACTTGTCACCATATAAGTCTTTAAAAATGTACAATTTGAAATGTTTAGAAAATTCCTTGCTTTGGTGAAAAAATTTCAAATTGAAGTGGCATGAGTTATAAACGTCCCTCCTAGAAAAATCGAAAAAATAAAAGTGGTAAAAGTGGAAGACAAAAAAACGAACTGGTTGATATGAACGATAATTGTAGCTTGGGTCGAAGTATCGCCTTCGATTTTAGTCAAAATAAAGGTTCAGCATTCCTATAATGAAGAAAGACCAGGATTTGAACACACAGGGACACAAATTTTAAACAGACTCATGTACAATAAGACACATACACGCCGTGACATCATAAGTCAGCATGACATCTCTAACACTGGCTTCTGACATCATCATGCGGCCTGTCTTTTCTTCATGATTGCATTAACTCTTTTTATTCCCATGAATAAATCGGTTTCCCATGTGTCTTTTTAATTATTTTTTTTATCTCCACTATAAAGTTGCAAAGTTGAAATTTCAGGCATATACATTAAAATTCACAGAGTTTAAAAAAATAAATGTTTAAATGAGGAGATCATGATAAGAGTGCTCACTGTGTCTCATTTGGGGCGGTCGGGTTTTTTCATCAAACCGATAACACAAGACTACACAAAATCAAATAAAAAAAACTACAAATGGCTGGCAGGAAGCATCACTCAATAATCAGTCATATCAGTCTTTATCAAACTGTACTATGAAAGAAAAAATCCAGCCAGCATGGCCAGGAGGTCCATCTCATCAGCAGAGAAACAAAAATTCCAAAAATATGACATCTTAGTGAAAACCTCCAAGCCCCACAACAATATTCAACAAAATTTGTATTTTTGCAGAATTCCCCTGCATTTTTCTTTTCTCTTTACACATAAAAAAAAGAATAAATCGGTGGAAATAAGCACTAGCATGCCTCCCAACAGATAAAAAAAATTAAAATGAGAAGCAGACACCGTGTAAAGCACAGACACACAAAGATAAATTCAGTATAGCCCTTAGTGTGATGTGTCCATTGTTCCCCCGGCTCAAACCCGTCTGCCTCCCTTCCCTTCGTGCGAGGTGAGCAGCTGAACTTGCAGGAAGCGTGTGGCGTCGTGGACGAACGGAACGCGAGGGTCTCTTCAATGCCAGTGTGCTGCAATAAGAAGCCCTAAACTTTACCAGGTACTCTTGAAAGGTCTGAAAAATTGCCGGGGGGGGTGTTTATTCACAGATTGGTTGCTTTTAATGAGAGAGGTCTAATTCCAAACATTCTCACTAATACGTTTGATAAATTTACACTCAGTAGAATCAACTGTACAAGGCTTTAAGTTTGCTTAAAAAGTGATTACGTACTGAAAGTTCATTTTATGGCCCAGCCACACAAGCGTCACCGAGTTTCTACTGATAAATATTAATTTAGATCATTGTTATTATTATCAGGCTCTATGCCACTGCAGATACCTAATTTGAAACAGTGGAAAAAAGTATTTTTTGTTTGTTTGTTTGTTTTTTTATATAGTCCACAAAATTTAACTTATCAAGGAAAATCCCAAAGTAGGCCAATAGGTGGCAGCATTGTTTACATAAAAAAACAAACATGTCAAAATGCAAATACAACAAAAAAAGATTAGTTCTGGTCATTTTGCAACCTTGCCATTTTTTATTTTTTGTCGTTTCATACCCGACCTTTTCATATTAAATAAATATATATGCCAGGATAATTTCATTACGAATTGGATTCATCATGCTGCAGAGGATAGACGCAGAACTGCATTAATGATGAATGTTCTACCGTCATTATGTCCTACCTTAGTTAAATATAAATGTTTTTCTTAGATGACTACCTGTAACTTTGGTTTGATCTCAGGTCGTGTTTAAAAAATATTTTTATAAAAGCAAGCTTGGTCAAATAGGTTTTTTTCTCCCCGTAATTCCTTAAGGCTCCCACATAATTACGAGAACACTTTAGCCTTTATAGTCAAGTGTGTCAATTTCTAAAGTTCTCAAGACAAATGCCTTTATTTTGCACATTTCCATGGTATCATTTGATGAGTTTAAACATTTAAGTGTAAATACTTGATCCTGGTGAGAAATACTGTGCACAAATTTGGCTTTGCACAGATGTATGTTGGGGCTTTTAAACTACAAATGAAAGAAAATATATAATTAGCTGTTACATGGATTTAAGCAATTAGAAAAGTGGCAAATCAACCATTGAGTTCAGCTTTGAGGTTGGCTGGACATTCTCCACTTCTCCAAGACATTTAAAGGCTCATTGCCTTAAACTTTTTCACCAATCAATTCTGCAGCCAGTTTTCCTCCTTGATTGTTTTCCTCATTGTTTTACCAGTGTTTAATTGTTTATATTTTAAAGAATACAAGCTTGTCTCATTTTTGGGTAATAACAGCAAAACTGAGAGCTCAAAAATAAACAGTATGTGTAATGCTGCTGTAAAGTTTATGTTTAGACCTTTTTCCTCTATAATTATTTTTTTCTAATATTTAGAATGTTTGTTATAGTTTACATTAAATTATTGATTATATTTCTGAAAAAGAACTGCTTGATTGTCAAGTCTGAGCTCAATGAAAACGGGGAATCGGCATCGGCCGGTCAAAGCCTGATCAGTGCATTTGAGAGAACAAGCCTAACATATGATAAAACACCACAGAAACAACTTCTTATTTTCCTCATATCTCCATCAAATATTAACACGATATATTTTATTTGGAAAACTACATCCAATTGTTTTTTTTTTGTGTTTAAGGCTTTGAGTAAATGGGTAAAAATGCCCTCCTTCATGCCAGAATTGGAAGAAATCTAACAAAATGGCGGTGGGTTATTTAATTGGACCTCTGACTTGGTTTTCTTGTGGAGTGCTGGTGTGACTGGGCCTTTATGGCAGCAGTATGAGGTGGCATTGGTGTTGTTTTCCTCCTAAATCTTTCATTTTAAATCTTTAATTATTGAAGCCGTAAAGCCAACAGATGACAGTTAACTGCACTTGGCTGGAGTGAATCAGCAGTTTGACATAAATAGTCCAATCACATCTACAGAAAGCGATGATCGTCTAATTCAGCCATTAAGTTACAAACCGGCTGGGTTTGAGGATAAATATGTTTTCAACTAAGTATACACGAAATCCTACAGGGCTCAGTCATGTTATAATCAATATCAAGTTATTTTCATACAAAAGTAACTTGTTTGGTTCTAAATATCATTATAAATACAACAACAAGCAAACCTGTCTCTCTCCAGGCTCGGTGCTCTTCACCATCCACAGTGGATTCAACGACAGATGAATTTCTGTCAGAGCACTCGAGGACTCAGAGGACAGTGCAATAAAACTCAAGGATGATTCAACAACTCAGCGGATATCCTTCAATAAAAGTCACAGCGAATACCCAGCAGCCTCTGAGCTGCATTCTTTTTTGCTCTTTTTATGAGGAATTTTTTTCTTCCTTTTGCAAAGAATGGCTGAATATTCTCTTTTTCAAAACATAAAGTGACAAGAATAGCATCGATTGGGTTTACTAACAAGACATAAATGTTGTATTCAACCACATTTTTTGTTGTTTTTCTTTAAAGGGGGAGCAGCCAGCTGGGGTAAAACTCGTTTCTCTTCTTTACGTTCCTTCTCCTCATTGTTTGACTGTGCGTCTCTCTTCCTCCCGCTCTCACACCGTCACCTCGTTCTTACTGCCAGTCCGCAACGTCTGCCCTCCTCCTCCAGGGATGAAGTGCAGCTGTTCGATGGTGTTCTGCCTTTTGGTGGCGAAGGCCATGCGTCGGGCACTGGGGTGGCCTCCGCCCGTCCCTGCTCCTCCTCCACCGTGGCCCCCGTGGGAGTCCCAGGCGTGCATCCCCATGACGGGCAGAGCTGCGGAGCTGCGCTCGTGATCATGGCCTGATGTCGGGTGGGAGTTCATCTTGATCATGTGGTGTCGGTCCATGGACGGCGTGGCGCATATGTTCTGCTGCGACTGGGCCTTCTGGTGGTGGCTCAGTCGGCCCATAGTGGGAACCATCCCGCTTACCGCCCCTCTCTCCATCGTTCCCATCGGCAGACCCATCGTCATCAAACGATCTTCCAGGCGGTCGGGTGAAACCAGGAGACGCTCATGAGACCTGAAAGCAGAAATGCATTTCCTCTGACTTCCTCTGCTTTATAAACATGCTCTGGACACAAACAGTTGGAGGGAATTTTACTTTCTAAATTGCAAAATATCAAAATAAAACCTGATTTTGGCATGAAAACATATCAAAGAAAATATTTGTAAAAACTGAGAGGTGACCTGTGATAGGATTTGATGTAATTACCCCTAGAACTCCAGACTGATATGAGATATTTGAAGGTTTCCTGTTATTTTTAGGTTTCAACAGTAAAAAATGGTTGTACACAGTGGTTCTGTGCTATTAAATGATCCATCCTGTTTATTCCACTTTTTCTTCAGACGGCACTTTATTTTGAAATTGAATATGGACAGTAAAACCTTAAAGACTGTTATCTTTGTGGTGTGCAGGTCCAAATTGTATGAATGGAAATCCAGAATTAACTACCGGTATTTTCATTTTGGTAAAAAAAAAAATTCTACAAAAATTCATACTAAAAAAACAAATGTTATCACAGAAACAAAAAAAAACTGCAACACAGGAAGTAAAAAGTAAAGTAAATCTAGAGTAAAAATAGGGGGGGAAGAATTATCAGTACTTGCATCAATGTCTGGCATCCTGTAGGTAAAACATAAACAAACTGAATATTTCCATCTTTTTCTGTTTCTGTAGGGTGGTGCACTGGAAAAACAATCTAGAAATAAGTAAAAAATTCTTAAATTAGGTGTATTTACCCTCAATTTGAGTAGGTAAATAATATAGTTTTCCAATGGAATGAGTATTTTTACTCTTGAAATAAGATAATTAGATAAAATGCACTTGAAATAAGACAATGCAATTCTGTTTTCTTATTTTAAGTGTAAATTGTCTTGTTCTATTGGCAAAATGTCTCTTACCTCCTCAATCCAAGAACAAATGCACTTGTTTTAAGAAAAATGGACTTATCTAGATTTTGTAGTGCGTATCTAGATTTTGATTTTTTTCTAGTGTGGGTGGCTTTTTTGTTTTGCATGGGACAGTTACTCTGAATGTTACACTAAATATTGGATTTTATTATTGCCACATATTTTAAGCTCTAGTTTCAAAGCATTATAACACCCTAATAGATGGCTTTCAAAAGCAAAAAAGCAGCCGGTGCAACATTACAAGTGAAACCACAGTGCAACTTTAATTATATTTCAAACTTCTGTGGTTAAAGTAATTATAGCTAAGTGAAAGATGTCAAAGGATGTATAAACAATTATTTCATCCTTTGTTATTAAATCAAAGAAATTTTACAGTCAAGATAAAAAGTATACAACTGGGAGGTTACATAAATGGGTTCTTTTAGTTTACAGCTGACATTATTTATATTTCCCATGTACCAAAGATGAAATTTGTTGTCTTTTGGTTTGGATAATATCCTTGTTTTTGATTGTGTTCCTTTGCCATATTAATTAATTTCTTTGTGTTTAGCTTCTTTTCTCCTTGATTTTTCTATTTTTTGTTATTTAGTTCAGCTTGATTCATCTTAATCAGCATCAGTCTCCTTACTGTCCTTCTGAATCAGCTGCTTCTCCTATTGCCCTGTTCAACATGTCTGCATCCATCATCATTCTCCACTCCTCCCTCAGTATGTAAGCTTACTGGTTATCATAGTGACAAAATTATTTTTAAATCAGAATTTTTCTTTTTCAAACACAGATGCAAATATTATTCATTGCTGATAAAACATTAAAGGAAACTGAGTAATACGAATACATATTATAAAGTGACTTGCTATCTGTAACCCTGGTGATCAGAAATATTTACTAATCAATCTTATGCCATTTTTTTTGCTGTGCACAGTGACATCTGAGTGCTTTCTTTATCTATGCTTGATAAAAATAGAGAAAACTTTTTATAAATTATTATTTTTTTAAACAGAACAGAAACTCTTTCACTAAAATTGAAAAGTTTTTTAACTTGTCAGACTTTTTTAAAACTTGAATGAAATTGTCTCAGTCCTGATTTATTTATGAACGACTGACTCCCTTTGCTTCCCTTCCTCAAGCTCTTTTGGATCACATGTTTTGATCCATTTTAATTCTTCTCTGACTTAATTTCTCTCCTTTTCCCATTCCTGCTAGTCATAACTAATTTTTCTTGATGTCATGGCTCTGGACTAACCTGCGGAGTGTCTGTGATGTGGAGCTCCTGCTGGTACTCATCATGGCTTTGTAGTACTGGTGCTGCTGGTTCTTGGACAAGCGGGACAGGGTGTTACCCTCCCCGAGGGCCAGCAGCTGGTCCTGGGAGCGAACGCGGCGAGGCGGCCTATCGAAGGTGGAGCTGGTGTACGGCGTCTGGGAGGGGAGTGGGTAGGGGTTTGGTGTGGAAGCCGGGATGTGGAGATGTGGGCGGGAGCCGTGGAGCGGCAGAGTGCCCTTGGATCCCAGTGTATAGTCACCCCCCCAGGGCAGGTGGTGCTGTGAGGAGTGGAAGGAGGGCGGGGCGTTGTTGGAACGTCGTTTGGAGGTGTAATAACCCGAGTATTCGTCAAGCTCTTTCTCTGTTTCACAAAAAAGAAAAGAGTGATTTTTAAAATATAAAAAGGAATACACAATAAGATAAGCTAATCAGATTAGTTAACTATCTTCTGAATATAGACCAGCTGAATAGAATTGCTTTACAACATGTGTCAAACTCCTGGGGGGAGGATTTAAACAGAGCATGCATGAGGAGAAATAGGCTTGTGCACGCTCCTGCACGCGTATAATAGGTATTCCCTCTCAGGTACAGGGTTGTGCATGTGCATTTTTTTTTTTTTAAGTGAAGAGTGCAGGTCTTTACAAAAATTTGCAAAAATCCTCAACTATACCTTTAAGAACTTCTCAGAAACAAAGTCATTAACAGCCATCAGTCTGAATTAAAAGGTAATTTTTAAAGCTTTAAAACCATAAATAGAAAGAAACATTAAACATGGAAGTGGACAACCCATCAGAATTACTCAGAGAGGGCTCAGTAATTCTGAACATCTTAAGTGCTGCAGGCTACAGTTAAGGTCCATAGTCATGATCAAAACTAGTAATCCCTGAAGACCTTTATGACGAAGAAAACCACCGCTGATTAACAGGAACAAAGTGATCTTCAATCAAATAAACAGAAACATCCTGATGGTCTCTGAGATTTCTGGGAAAGTATTCTCTTGACTAGTAAGACATGACTAAAACTTTCTGAAAGGTGTTTGCTGATTCATCTTTAATTAAAATTACCCTTAATATCACATCAAAAAATAGTGATTGTAGCTGCTTTTCTGTGTCTGATGCTGAAGGGTTCATTGTAACTGATGGAACAACGAATTTCTGCTGTCTTAAATAACATTTCAATGTCGGCCAACACTCCTTCCCATCGACATACAAAAAGGCCCCTTGCCAGTTATCTCAAATGCTTCATCATAGTTATTCTTGCCAAAAGTGGCACGGCAGTAATTAGGCTTAGAGAGCAATTATATTTTCAGGTTGGTTTGGATTGCTTTAATCATTAATGACTGAAAAAAAATGACTTTCTGCATTTACTCAGGTCAGATTAGTTTAATTTGAAATATGGTCTGAAATGTGTGTTTAACATCCAGCCAGCCTACTGTGAGAAAAGCAGCTAAAATGAAGTTTTCTTTCAAATAATTTATTCAGTGTGCAAGAAAGGACAACCTGACAGGAAATACAAAAAGTGGAAATTTAAACAAAGGGTAAACATTAAGAGCAGAAATTAAGATGGGGAAACAGAAGGGAAGACAATAAAAGCATAAAACATGAGAAAGGAAGATGTGGGAAAAACCCAAAGTAACAGAGACTGGATGAAGTAGGACAACAGAGAAGAAAGTGTTCATTAATTTTGAAAGAAACGGCATTTATGTGCTTTCTGCTCCATAGCCTCAGTCTGCTTTAATCTTCAAAGTATTTCCATGGAAGCAGCTCCCCATGAGCCAATTTAAAACCTGACCTTTAACCAGCCACCTCTCTACCTCTTCCGCCCCTCTTGTCTTTTTTTCCTCTCTCCTTCTCAGGTCTCTTCCTTTCCATTTCTTCTTCTTCCTTCACTGTTCTCCATCTTCCCTTAATTTCCGCCAAATCTAGATGTTTTCTATCAACCTCTCATTTTCCTCATTTCCCTTTTTATTCTCACTGAGCTCATGTCCTCACCTTGTCCTCCCTCTTTTCTCCACCATGGCTTTGTTTAAGGCCAAATTATCTCAAGGTTTTTGTTGTATTTTTTTTTCTGCCTGGCTGCAGACAAAGAAGCCTTTATCGATGGCATTTCTGCAGGGAAGCACATCAAAAGCAGCAGGTTTCATTCAGCAGCGGCTGAGAGAGCATTTTCTCCTTCGCTCTGTGTCATACTGACATTTCACTACCGCCTTGATACATTTGCTTCATAGAAACTGTTTTATGAAGGTATGTTTTTATTTATTTTCTTTTAAATAATGCTTTAATTCAAATAGTAAAAGAGTTGTTGGGGCAGCCAAGTGTATAGATCAAATAAATATTTATCCTCAATCCATTCTCATGTCCAATAGTACAAAAAAAAAGCTATTTATAATCACTTATAAAATAGAAAGTATAATAATAATACAATAACAAAACATTAAGCTGTATGGACAGATCGGCTGCTTTGGAACATTTGGACAAAGATAAGGCATTTACTTAAACTTCTGTAGATGTATAAATGGATGCAAATGTGGGTATTAAAACTCAAGAACTTTACAGTATGAACGCTTCTTAAGGAAATCCGAAAGAGCTCATAAATGAAACCATCTAAAATCGTTTTGCATTGGAATTAGGTTTATTTCTATAGCGCCAATTCAATGCATATCCTCTCCTGGCACTTTACAGAGACAATTCAATCCGATCATCCAGTCAGCTGATCATGTGCAGTCATTGACTTTGCAACAATTCCTCACACAGAGCATGCATGCAGTGACAGTGGAGAGGAAAACTCCCATTTTTACAGGAGGAAACCTCCAGCACCAGGCTTATTGTGAGCCCCATTCTGCCAGGGCTGAATAGCTGAGTAGGGGTTCAGATATCTGAGTTTCATTCAGAATTGTTAGACTGGAGCCATTTTGTTTAAAAAAAAGGGAAATTAGATTTAGGGAAAAAGTGGATAAAAGTGAAGCAGGAGCTTGATATTCATATGGGCTCAACCCAAATACCTCTAATCGGTGAGGACACTTAAGCCACTGCAGAAGTGCATCTGCAATCGCGATAAAAACTGCAATCTAAATAGTTATGGCAGTAAATAAGGAGGAAGCAGGCGCTTTATGGTTTCCCACAATCCTTTGTGTGACAGGACTCATAGACAGAGCCTACCTCACAGAGCTTTACATAAATACTTAATTTTTTCACATTTAGTCTTTATTTCATGTGACACATGCTAATCTACACACCTTAATAATATGGAGAATGTCAGCCGTTCATTGCGTTTGTATGACTTTGTTTTTATTTGTAGTACTATTCCAAAAAGTAGTCCATTCATGACATCCGTAATCTTTTTAAATACCTTCATATTAACGACCTCTATCAATATTTTTAGCTGTGACACGACAATGTAAGGGCCTCAATATCCCAAAATAAAGGCTCTTAGAAAATCAAACGGTAAAATTGCCCCTCAAAAGCCAGGTTGGAATAATTTGACAATTTTGTGTCATTTACAGTCCGAGTGGAGCGTGAGGTGCAATTTTTGTGGTTAGTTATAATGAAAAACAAAAACAGCTGTAAACAAATATAGTTTAAATTTAGTGAGAGATATTTAAGGGTAAATCAAGTCCACGTGACTAACCCCAGCACTGAAATATCACCAATATAACTTTACCTGTTCATATGCAGGTTTAATGACCTGAAGTCACAATTTGATCCAACCTCTACAGAGCTTCATCAGCAGTCATCAGAAAAGAGACAGCAACTTCAGCATAAACCAGCATACCCCCCCCATGAGAAACAACCCAACAGTGGCGTCGGATGTAGGAGTTTGCCCTGAAATCGAAGGATTGACGGTTCAATGTTTCATTGTCGTTGTGTCCTTGGGCAAGACACTTCACCTGCATTGTCTTCTGATGGTGGTCAGAGGGCCCGGTGGCGCCAGTGTACGGCAGTCCCGCTTCTGTCAGTGAGCCCCAGGGCAGCTGTGGTTACAATGTAGCTATCCGCAATCAGTGTGTGACTGTGTGAGTGAATGGGTGAATGACTGAATGTAGTGTAAAGCACTTTGGTCAAGTCTCCTGACTTGAAAAAGTGCTATATAAGTACAGGTTAGCAGCTTTTAGAATTAAAGTCGTAGGGAAGCGACTGTTCCAACGGTTGCATTTCCGAATTCTCCCGATTGGTGTCCGACTTTACATGAGTGAATAAAGTAAATGTGATTGGTCATTGCAAGCAAATTTGTTTGTGGCCGGTGTCTCTGAAGCATCTTGCTAACCAGTTAGCAACTTAGTGCTAGTAGGTTCCCAAATGGAAATTCCATTGGGACCAAGTAGCACTAAATTGGTGACTTAGAAACGACGCTGTCAAGGAACACTATGGACAGCGGAAACATGCAAGAGCAGGAGAGTTTTGTATCAGAGGTCGTGGATGAGTCTCCTACATCATACATTTTTTATTTAGAGGAGGAAAGTGGAGCCGAAGTTGTTGTGGAAGAGGACGCAAGGGCGGCAGAAGCTTTGTTTGGTGTAGAAGGCTTACAGCCGTACAAGTTTGAGCCCTTGCCTCGCAACGCTGCCAGTTCTGTTAGCTCTACGCCTGCCGAAGACACAGACGTCCATCCCCGTGAACACTGGGACGGAACTCAATGGGAAAGTAAATTATACTTATTTCTTATTTCGACAGTTGCGTATATTAGCTATGACATATGAATCAAGATGCTATGTTCGAAAACATTTGATTGACAGATGATCGTTGACATATGATTGGCCGAATTTAGGTGTGCAAGCTGACCTATAACTATCTGGCCTGCATAAAACAAAAAAAATCCCCCACAGATTTTAAGACAAGGTTTTTTTCTATAGAAATGTTCTACCTTTTGGGACAATATCATCTGATAAAGATTACATTTATATACATGTTTAAGCCAGAATTCCCTGTGACTTTAAGTCCTCATTCAAATTCTCATACCTCTCCTGATTGAGATCTCTGCTTGTTGGGATTAATTTGGGATTTCGGGATCCAAAATAAATATTTTTTGAATTAATGTGAACAGCAGGAAAAATGCATGACAGGAATCTTATTCTTTCTGTATTATTTAGCCAAGAGTCAGGTCTTCTGCTGCTTGACACAGAAGAGATCTTTTACCTTACTGAACTGCCGTATCTATACGAGATTTTCTCCTTTTGATTAATTTGAAATAATAAAGCGCCTCGTATGGATTCTGCCTGACAGTTTTCCCTCCATGCAGAGCCAAGATGGTTGCACACATCCTCCGCTGGTCTGCAGAGAACCTCCCCTCCCCCCGCAGTCCTCAGCCATCACAGAGTGAGTGAAGTAAAGGCAGCAGTCACTGCCTGGAAAATCATTTCCTCCTCATTGAAAGCAGCCAAGCCTCTGCAGACCTGCACCCCCCTTATCTCTTTCCACAAGTGCCTTCTTTCACTCTGCTTTTTCCCCGACTGGCTCCCTTGACCTCTGCATCAGCATCCTCCTTTATCTTCTACCTTCATGCCGGATCGTTATTCATCCTGTCAGCTCCTTTAACATTCCTCTCTGTCTTTCGATCAATCCTTCTCTTTAAATTCACTCGTTCATCCACTCCTATCCTGCTCATCTCTGCCACTCCCTGTCGTCCGCTTTATGCTGCTGCTTTTCTTTACCACTTTCAGTCAAGCTTTCTGTCACTTCTCCACACAAATCTCCCTCAAATGATCCACAATAAATGCAGCAGATTTTTTATCAGGATGATAAACACAGCTGCTGACCCAAGGTAAATGGGACTTTTATATAACCTGTTTTGCATCTATAAAACAGAAAATTTATAGTACAGATCTGCCCCCAGTCCTGCCAAATAATGCAGAACATTATACCAGCAAGCAAAAAATGAAGCAAAAGCGCCCACATAGCTCTTTTCCCCTTTCTCTGACAGGTTAAACTCAGCATTACGGTCAGTCTGACTGATTTTGACATTTCTGCTCCCGCATTCAAATCCTCTGCATGTCTAAAAGAAACAAAATCTCAGAACAACCGTCGTATACATTTCTGCCTGTCTGAATTCTAGGAGGTGATTCTGCGACTTTGCACTTTTTGTCACTAATCCTTCAACAGAGAGAATAATGAGGGGGGAAAAAGGCGTACATAAGGGTAAGGTATCTTTAACCCCCCAACAGAACCCAACACCTCAAATACTTTTTTTTTAATCTTTCATTTATTTTAAGTAAAAAAAAAATTAAAAAATCACAGAACACAACAGAATTTAGAGTGACAGAGAGCACCAGTAAAGCAAAAATAAATAAATAAAAATCAGTGTTTGTTGCGTTGGCCACTATTATCAAAAGTAAATGTACTATTCAAGGTAATGTCTTGATATTGCAGAACAAGACAACTTAGAGTACTTGAGTATTCCAGATCCAGATGCTTAAATCTCTAAATTCCATCATTGCATCAAAGGAAGGATATTGCAAATAACTTCAATGCCTCTAATTGTTTTCTGTCATGGAGGAGGAAAAAAGATTAAAATGACCTGCATATTAAAATATCTGAGCTTTGTCTGAATAAATGTTTGCAACAAGAGGGAAACGTTTAAGGGATGTTCAAAACATGCAGACAGAGAGACTTAATAATCACACATGAAACCTTGTGATGTTCAGAATAAAAGCAGCAGGTTTATGAACCAGGGAAACAACTTTTAGTTTTATCCACAGAGGATTTCCTGAATGGACAGAATAATGATAAATCTTCACCAACAGGTAAAAGTCATTGTTGGCCTAGCACTTTGACAGCGTACTCTGCATATAAATATCTCTACTACAATATTTCTGAATCATTTTTTATAGCAGACCGAGTTAAAAACAAGTAAAAACTAAACACTTTTTATAAAATGCAAATTTCTTTTATCAAGGATAGAAAAGAAAACCTGCAAACTTTTCTTCTATGAAAAATTAATCACCCCCAAAACCCAGAGCTGTGCCTCCCCTGGCCAGACACTTAAAGGTTTATACCAATACGTATCGGAGTCCCAGAGAGCGCCGGTTATCATTTGTGGAGGATAGCTCTCATGATGGTACATATTAATCCCAAAGCACTAGATGCACTGCAAAAACGATTTAGAAATTAGGCATTTCTAAAATTAAGTGTATTTACAATTAATTTCCGTAGGTAAATAAGATGATTTGCAAATGGAATTATAATTTTAATTTTTATTTTATTATTCTTAAAATAAGAAAATTAGATAATATGCACTTGAAATGAGACAATGCCAAAGTATTTAAGTGTTTCACTTACCACCTCAATTCAAGAACAAATGCACTTATTTGAAGAAAAAAAATAATATTAATTGATTATGAATATATATATCTATATATATATAGATATAGATATCTATATTGATACATATATCTATATATCAATATACCTATATATATCTATATGTCTCTGTCTGTCTGTCTCTCTCTCTCTCTATATATATATATATAGATATATACAGTATGTATCTATATCTATATATATATATATATATATATATATATATATATATATATTAGTGCTGTCAAAATTATCGCGTTATTATCGCGTTAACGCGAGGCCATTTTAATGGCGATAATTTTTTTAACGTGAGATTAACGCTATGTGGTTTTATGGTACAATTTTCCAAGTACATCCCGCTGCAGCCTGCGGGAAGGCGGGGCTATTTTCCCCCAGTCTATGCATTTTCCATAGGCTTCGAGAGCGGAGCTCCTCAAGGAAAAAAGACGCTCATACACTGGGTGACGCTAGTGCCTTTTCTTTAAGCCCCACCACCAACAAACAAGTTGAGTGTCTGGTAACTAGTAGCAACCTGAAATACGCTGAGAAAACTGATTACTGAGGTGAAATGGAATCTGCTACGGCACTCTTGCTGTCTGTGTACGCCACAGGTCAGTATCGTGTGTGTGTGTGTGTGTGTGTGTGTGTGGGTGGGTGTGTGTGTGTGTGTGTGTGTGTTCTCATTTTTGTTAAGAGGCTGAAAAGTAACTTTCTAGAGCATAGACTACCTCCATCTAGTGATGTCGGTCTATTGATTTTGATGTATTGATTGAAAATTGTTTATTATTACCTTGGTTAATTGACATCTAATGTTAACTCTACTACATTTTATAGCAGTAGGGTAAAATGCTTGTCTTTGTTCAAAAGACTGTATTAATTGTAAAGACTGTCTTTTACATCAGCCTGTTTTCAGGGCCTTTTTTTTGGCTACATATTTGTTATTTTTTGCTACATGCCTCCCCATCTTCTTGCCATATGTTTCTATGGCATAAATCAGTGTCTGTGACCTGTTTTCATTTAAAAAAAAGAACATTGGCACAAACCTTGCCTGTATGTATTTTTTGTATGTCATCGAGAGTATTTAAATGATTTTCAATCAGAAAAAAAATGTGTGATTAAAATGCGATTAATCGCGAATTAACTTAGACATTGATGCGATTAATCGCGATAAAAAAAATTAATCGATTGACAGCACTAATGACACACCAGTGCGTTGTTTTGTTACACAATGTTTAAATCAGGTCAGAATCCATTGCTTTTTAAGGTATTTTTGCCTACTTCGTCTTGTCATACAGGTTCAGTTTAATTGATTTCTTTATTCTGCAGAACAGGTCAGAGAGTGAGCAGGTATGAGTGTCACCATTAATACTGAACCAAATGTGCAGTGAATCAAATTGGACTAATTGTTATATTTAGGACGTAATTATACTTTCAGACAGATCAAAATATCATTTTTTTCCTTATCAAACTAAAAACGTTTTATATTTACTCTTTCTTTACTTCATATTCAAACAAAAAATTATGAAGAAATTTCCAAAAAACAGAGGAACTCTGTTGTTTTCAAACCCGTTTTATTTGGTAATAGATGTTGAGAACTAAAGTATGATTAGAAAAATGACAGCTCCTCTCCTGCTCTAGTTAAGGCTGCACTGAAACAGCTTATTATCTCACAGAAACTGACTGGGGGGAAAAGAAAAGATTTTACATTTTAAAGATCATCATTGCCGAGAGAAAGCTGACATTCTATGGAAAAAAAGTAGTTTTCATTTCATTTTAACACTAAGCCTCCATATCAGGAAATAAACGCTCTATTTTCTAATGTCTTGGACCGGAACATGTGAAAAAAGATCCTGACACTCCTAATATAAACATTTTCCACATTTGGGGCAACAGATGGTGCTGAAACAAACAGGTTTTAAGTCTGTCGGCATATGTTAACTGGTAGGACTAACTGGAATGATGCAGCTTTATGTCTGTGGAGGAGGTGATGGAACATGTCAGGTGAACAAGGACATGCAGCTTATGGCTCTGAGCAATATTCACTGCAAACAGTTGGCGTTTTAAAGAGTCTTAAAGAAAAAAGGATAAAATGCTGCCTTAAGGTATTTGACCCTTGGTTACATGTGCGATTTTTCTGATGATCTGTGAGCCTCAATAAAATCAGCGGAGCCTTACCCAGTTTTTTCAGGGAGCTGTAGCGGCTGAGCTCAGGTTTCATGGCCGCTTCGTAGGACGGCGGCAGCTGGGCCAGGTTGTGGAAGGAGTGGGAGAAAGACGGGTGGCTGCTGTTGTGCCTCATGCTCCCGCTTAGGATGCCACCGACGCCAACCCCTCCTGTGCCTTTACCGCTTCCTGAAATCAGGGTAGCTCCAGACGGCAGCTGGGAGGTGTTGTTCATACGGGGTCCACGCTCTGAGGATTGAGGAAGAAAAATGCAGCGAATTAGAAATTAAAAATGGAGGGACTGGATGTGAATAAAAAAAACATGAAAGATGTTGGTAACAGAAGGAGAAAAAATAAAAAGGAAGGTAGATCCTAAAAAAGTAAAACCATTGGAAGTAATTATGTTACAAACACAAACTCCTGAGTCTTTTATTGGGTTTTTAGATAAGAGAAACACAGATGTTCTCTATTCATCCTCTGACATGGGAGCTGCCTCAGAGCTCGCCTTTCTGGCAGTTTGTTTCCTGGACAGGGCCGCCTTTTACAGTTGCTTTTTGTATCTCTGCTTCTTTCTGTGTGTCTACTTCTGTCTCCTTGAACCCCAGTCGGCATCTGCAGATGGCCGCTCACCCTGAGCCTGGTTCTGCTGGAGGTTTCTTCCTGTTAAAAGGGAGTTTTTCCTCTCCACTGTCGCTACAAGCATGCTTAGTGTGAGGGATTGCCTTCGAGTCAATGAGTTGATGCAATCAACTGGTTTTCCTTAGAAAGAATGCTTTGAATCAATTTCACTGTATGACCTAGTCGAATTATCTCTGTTAAGTGCCTTGAGATTATATGTGTTGTGAATTAGCACTATATAAATAAACTGAATTGAATTACTGTCTAACTATGAAGCAGAGGGGAAAACACTCATTTTAGGAGGGCTATAATGTACTTTAATCCTATAAAATATCAATGCCTCATGGTTTGTTGTTTAATCAGCCAATCAGCTCTCAGCAGACAAGTTAGGCAAGCCAGTCCTTACTAAAAAGAAGCAAGTAGGAAATATTTTTTATAGTTGATCAGAAACCATGTAAGAGACGCAGCAAATATGAGAACAAAGACGCTCAAGCTACCGACTGGGAAATACCAGAAACAGCTAACATTCATGTTCAGAATGGCCCAAGTCAAAGTCCAGACGATTGATTATGATTATCTATGGAAAAATCCTCTGTTCTCCATCCAACAATAAATAAACAAATGTACAACTTCAATCTAAACTCATGCAAAGATTTTCCACACATACCTCAGACCTGCAGCTGCAACCGCAGCCAAAATTGGCTCTGAATCATTCACCTCAACAGGGAGGAAAACAAATACACAGCATACTTTATTTTATGAAACTCACATCATCTTTCTCCTTCACAATTACTACTTTGTGTTTGTCTTTCATAAAAGCCCAATAAAATTCACTGGTTGTAACGTGATCAAATTTCCAACTGATCAAACGGAAAAGGCGACGTCTAAAGGGAGAAGGTGAGGGCAAATAATATGTTTTAAAGGTAAAGAAAAGAAAACAGGAGGAAGTGAACGGGAGTAAAGAAAAAAAAATTTAGACAATGCAAAAAGGAAAGAAAAAGGCTGAACAAAGGAAGAATCAACAAGCTGGGTAACTATCAGTGAACACAGGAAGTGTCTCTTAGCTCCATGGCGACCATCTATAAATACAACCCAGTGTTGTTCATCTAAGGCTGGAACACCAACATATCAGCCACATATAAATACAGAAAAAACACGGAAAAATTGTGGAGGAATCTCAGCGCACATACAGTCACATATATGCAAAGTGCAAAAGCAGCACATGGATCAGAACACAGATGTGATTGTTTTTCTTTATATACTGTTAGCAAGGGAGGGAGGGGGGGGGGCACAGACACCTGCTTTGCAACATGTATACTGATATCAGTTACATCATAGGGTATACATACACACTGATAAATGCTGCAAAATGCAGAGAGACAGAGCTGTAAATGAGCCAGCATGTGGGTGCACTCAGCAGGGGCTCCACATGTGGATCAGAAAGGAGCTGTTTAGTCATGATCATCAGAAATGTTACGTCTATGAAAGCAAACAAAGAGCAGCTCCGCCTCTGTGAGTGAGAGCGGCTAAGAATCCAGAGCAACAATTAAAGGTTGTGTAACTGTGGCCATTTACTGTTTCCTGTCTTCAGCACAGACACCAGAAGAGTTCATCCAGGGTGGGAGCGGTTATGGGCTGCCATCTTGTTAAGATAACTGCAGGACATATACTGGTCATTGACCATTGACAGTAATGGGCTGTAATGGCCAATGATGTCTCTGTTAAGTGCCACCCAGGGAACACACACCACATCGACCTCTGTACTTTTAACACATACACACACAGTGGGGGGAAAAAAGCAATGCTAGTTCTGAGATAGTTTTGCTTTAACAGCTTGAAGCGATGAAGGCAGTTAGAAAAACACACACAGAGCATCAACAACTGAACATAAAGCCCTGAGTTTATCTACAAGCAAACACCTGGAATTGACTGGTGAGCATAATCAATGTGAAGAGAATCCGAATGGAGATGTTCTCAGAGATGTTCAATTATGTGATGATTTTACACTGTAAGAAAGAGTGTCACTGAACTCACATCCACCCAGCCTCCTTTTTAACTCTCATAGTTCCAATAAAGATGAACGGGATCAGGATCCCTGTTTTAGGGTTAACTATCAAAACATGTGCAAAAAAGGAGAGCGATCTCGTACAATGGTACAATGGCAAGACATATTTTTAAGCAACTATTCCAAAAGGACATTAGAGGATTCAGAGGTTGAATATGGGGCTTTTTCATCAATTACCTCAGAGGGACACCATGACTTTTTGTGTCAACATGTCTAATCATAACAGAGAAACACTCACAATTCTTAACAGATATCCTATCGTTATTTTTTATGTTCCAGATATGTTTACATGCTCACAGAGTCTCCTTCTATCCTCCTCCTTTGTTGCAAGAAGGGCAGTTTCCACCTGACTTTTAGAAAGGGGTGAGTGGGAAACCCCACATTCATATCTACAGGTAACACAGAGTACATGTCAGACTTAATAATATTACTTTAGCGATAGTTTCAAGGTGTTGCTTTATTGTATGTCTCGTACCATGTCTTTCAGTTGTGCTGTTCTTTTTTCATCTCGTTACAGGTGATGAAGCAGACTGAAAATGTTTTGTCATTGTCTCCTTTCTATCTCTTCTTTCTTTCATCTTTTCTTTTCTTTTTTCCTTTTCTTCTTCTGTTTTTCTGCACTATTTACATTGCAGTGTCCATATAAACTGTAAAACTCCCTGCATAACTATAATAAAGCAATTTATATGCATGAAACAAGTGGAGCAGTATGGCAATTGCCATACTGCTCCACTTGTGAAAGCAAAATCTGTTGGGCTCTTTTTGGCATCAAGAAAACTATTCTTATTGCCATATTGCCAGACAGGACACTTAAAAAAAAAAAAAAGAAAGGGGTGAGTATTTGCATGGGTGTTGCGATATCTGTCACGATACTTGTGTCAAGATACATTGCGATATCACTATATACTGCAATGTCGAGATTAAATCGGATTAAATCGGTATATTGCCAAAACGATATATATTAGAAGTACCAAAAAAAAGCAGCAGTACAATTTCTGATCTGCTGTGGATATCTGTGCATGTTTACAGTTGTTTATTCTCCATAAATTTGTGTTTAGTCATTAGAATGTGATGTGCATATTGCTGAAGGCACGCATAAAACAATGGTTTGCACACTGTTTGCAAAAGCAAATCACTATGCAGCTTCTTTCAGGATCTCGTATGTGCGTGCAAACACATCTGCACCTATTTAAGGATGCAAAACGTCTAAAGATCAGGTCCTAAGTGTTATAATATTAAACTTGATTACTTTACAAATATGTGTTAAAGCTTGGAATTAGTTGCATTTTATATAAAGATCACCGCCTATAAGGGATAACTTAATTAAAAGCTAATTTTTGAAAGTGAGTTATGTAATTACCTTTAATTACCTTAACTGTAATTTAAGTTAGAAAAATAATACTTCAATCATTAAAGTTTTAACTTCGTGAACGGTCTTACCAGGTTTGACATTCCTCACAGGTTGCCTAATGGCGAATTTGTAATTAAAACGTCAATCAAGGCCATTGCCTTTAGGTCAAATCACATCATACAATTAATTGAAATAGGGAAAAGGTTCAGTAAAAATGTGTCAGTTAAAATGGGAACATAAACATGAAGCCATTAAGCAGAAAAAAGAGAGTAGAGCACATGTGGTGGAAAATGGGAGAAACAGGAGAAAAGGTTCAATAAAAGTTTAAAAGCTCCGGAACCAAACATGGCCGCCGATCATTACAGGACATTAATGAGCTAAAATCAGGAATGTGAACATCTCTGAAAGATTTTTCTCTTAATCTCAGCATCCCTTCCTGTAATCCATTAGCCTAAATTAAAGCATGGAGAACAAATAAAGCTGTCCTGAAACCTCAATCTACAAACACTTGATGAAACATCTGGACTCTGAGGTGCTTCTAATCACTGCAGCTGTCTTCTTGTGTAATTCATTCCAGAGGAAACGCATGTAGGTGTAGATGCTCAGAATAACTCTCTAAAACTTAAAAAGTTCAGTGGAAATCACTCTGATCTCGTTATCATCAGATCTCCATGGTAACCACATCCTGCAGAACCTTCATCGGCATTACTTTACATTCAGGGGAGGTTTGCTGCACTTCATGGATGGAACATAGATAAACCTGTTTTTAGATAAATGACTAGCATTGCTTTTTGTTTTCTTGATGCAAAGCCTGGGAAAACGGACTGGGGTTAGAGAGCCGATCCGCTCACAGCGGGACCTTCTCTCTCGTCCGGCCTCAGCTGTAAGCGCACTCGCATGTCACTGTGACACAGAGGGATAAAATAGAGGAACAAGCAGGCTTGTGGTGCTGTGTGACGGGAGGAAGGGGGGCAGACAGACTTTAAGCTCAGGCTCTGATGAACAACCGGCCAATTTCAACACAGCTTCCACACAGAAGCTACAGACACACACAGTGTTGAGACTGGCGCAGCTGGTTTCAGAAAGCGTTCCGACAGGCCGAACACCGACAAAGACAGACGGACAGGGAGGTGGGGAGCCGGGGGTCCGGCAGGCAGCTCGCCAACGCCCGGGCTGGACTCGTGCTGCTAACCACGAGGCTTACCGATGGTAGCAGAGTGTTTGGGGCTGGAAGCAGACCCCTGCTGGTTAAAAGGGTGGTGGAAGTTCCCCGCTGCAAAGAGAGGAAAGCCAACAAACTGATGGACGACACCTCCAGAGACACAGAGACGTGTGTCGCGTAAGCATTTGTGTCAGCAGAGAGACAGAGAAGGGACAGCAGCAGAGAGAGAAATGGACAGGAAGACGAAAACAGGTTTCCCTCCAGGAATTCGATTTCTGTCCGTTTCATTGGTCACAATGTTTCACTGAATCGCATCAAACTGCTAAATCAGCAGAATATACAAACAAAATGACTTATAGGCTGTTTAGCTTCAGAGATAAAAGATACAGAGCTAATGTGAACAAGTGTTTTCTGGAGAACAAACCAAATCCTGGAGAGAAGGAAAGAAAATCAGCAGAAGAAGAAAAGAAGAAAATGTGTTTTCATTGTGAGCTTAGTTCACCTCCACTGATTCCCACCAGAAAACAAAATCACCAACCTGGTGAAGTTTACCTAATTCTAAAATCTGTGCATTTCCTTTAAAAACTGGTAAGAATGCATGGTCAATATGTCAAACTCACAACACAGAGTATTCTGATGATTTTCATGTTTTAATCTTTACAGCAAATAAGAGCTTTAAGAGAAAAAAGATTCAAGCAAAAATATTAACATGTCTATTTTGTAGCAAATTTTTATCTTATTTAAAGTCTTTTGCAAAATAGCTGTTTGTTTTTTATTATAATTCTTTAAAACAATAAATAAAAACTTGATGCAACAAAAATATTTATGGTTATTTACGAGGTTTTGGGAATGAAGTTCATATTTTTAGGTAGTAAAAGGAACTTTTTAACTTATCTTATTACCCAACTGCCACTTTAATTCAAAATCACTTGTGTTGTTTAGTCTTGAAATGAAATTATTTTTATTTTATTTTCCTGTCAAACGGCATATAAGCCCTAGCAAAATCGTTTCCACCTCAAGTGCAAATTGTGTGACTGCAGCTGAGTTTGAAGTGAGATCTTAGAAGCAGGAGAGCAGCAGTGATAATGAGCCTCCCTGTCAGCAGGGACACGGCGAGCAGGCCTGACTCCAAGGCTTGTGTAACCTGAATATGACACCGCTGCTTTGCGTTTTCACCTCCAGAAAGGTGTGAATACGTTCGGCTTGACTCGAACCGCTTTGTCACTTACTGCGGTTGTCTTTCATTTGCAGGACCGGGGTGTAGAGGTTTTTGGATGTGCGCCCGTCAGACGTGGTGGTGGTCAGCATGGCGGCGTTGTTCCTCTCTCCCTGTTGCCCGGGGCTCGATTGGTGACGTAAAATGTCCACCAGGGATCTGACACAGCAGAGGAAAGATGAGAAGATCAGAGCAGGGAGAGGTGAAGAGAGGCCATCATTTAACATATGCTTCTTTTTCTATTTAATTGCCTTATTTCAAGCTGTTTCATTTATTAATATAAAAAAAGTAAAAAAAAAAAGGATGTGTTTGTTTTCTGTTTTTTTAGACTACATTACAGCAGCTGCCCTCTTTCATATGTGACGTTAATGTTACCTCTCAATTACTAGTTTGGAATTCAAATATAAATATAGCCCTAAATGTAAGGAAATGAATTTCGTCTTTGTTTAAAATAAATGTTTCTCGTTTAACCAGCAGTGATATGTGTTATTCCCATGCACAATTTGACTAATCCACTCCGCCAATCCCACAGTCTTTAACCTAATTGGTGTTTATTAACTGAAATGTTATGTCTTTAGTTCTGTGGCTCTTTAATTTGCTATGGTACGGCAAGCATTGTTGGATTTAATCAGGCCTTTCCAGCCGCTCCTCTCCAAGAATTTGGAGATTTTCTTGGTAGTTGTAGTCATCAGTGTTGGACAGTAACTCTGTTAGTTTGGTCAAGTAATACTTTTAAAGCTTTTGTATTTACATTTTTAGGGGATGTTTTTTTTCCCCAGCCTATCACTGCTGTAACTGGCTAAGCTAAATTTGGCCTAAAGAGCAGTGATGGACGCCTCCTGGGTTCCTTGGAGCCCCAGGATGGACTGTGTGTGAATTTGTCTGAGATCTCTTTGGTAGAGAATTATTGAATTGCTGATATGAACTATATGTTAATATATTAATATTAATATGTTATTTTGATTTTTTTGTGCTATATATATATATATTCTTTATAAAATTGTAATTGCGACAGCGAGTCGCTACAAACACTAATGTTGCTCTTAAAAACACTTATTTTGAAAAACCAGGTAGTTAAACAATGTGTTTTTATCATTACTAAACTACTCAAAACTACTCAAAAGAACCACATGAAATATATATTTTTGTAAATATACTAACATTTATTGATGCTGTCATTAAACCAACAATGGAGTATATAATAGGCAGGGCAAAGCAATAACATTCTTTCCAAATATCGTTTTTTAGCAACCTATCCTCTTGAAAAATCAAGTATCATGTTGGGATATTTTTTTGCATTTGAGGTGTTTTCGTTATAAATGTGTGCAAACCTTCTTGATATTATAAAAAAACAACCCAATTTCACAATTGCTTTTTCCCCAATAAATTTGAATTGCAATTAAAATCACAGGCAAATAAGTTTGTTCATAATAATTACTGCCTCCTGATGTCTTCTTCACCTTTTTTGCAAGTCGTAAAATCTGGTAGTTGATCATGTTAATCGGGAAGTGAATTAAAGTGTTTTCCTGTTGCTCTTCTCTGCTCTCTACTCTCATTTGATTAGTGCCAAACTTAACGAAATCCAAGTGCAAATACTTTAATCAAAAACACACTTTTTTTTTTCCCCGCTGTGTTTTCGTAATTACAATTTTAGGATGAATGGAAACACAGCTAGTCAAGGAGCCTTCGGACCGTTTTTCCTGCGAGTCTTAAATGTAAATGTGTAGAAAACTACAGTTCTGAAGGGCTGACAGGGTGAGACCCCTGGTGTGACATCTGCCCTTTTTCTCCTCCGTTCTAGAGAACTGTTTAGTTTGGAGAAGGTACCAAGGGTTACTTTAGATAACCCTGCAATGTGGCTTTGTGGAACAGCAGTTTGAAGTTCCTCTAAGTCATAAATTGGAACAGGATATTATATGTAATATTAAAGAGTAAAAATTATTATAAAATGTTACAGCAAAGATATACAAAAAAAAAGAAACACCAAGTTTTATCATTCTAAGGTAATATTCTTTGTATAAGATAATTTAGGAGCATCAGTCCTGTCTGAAGGAGCTCAGACACCTAAACAAGCTGCTAGAGGAAAAATAAAGCTTAAAAATCATTGTTCAGAAAAAAAAAGAAACTATAAGAGCATGAAGAGGAAACCTGCTGACTGCTGCAAGTGAAGCTTATGTTTATGTAAATCAACAGCATAATAAACAGAGTGGGTTTTTTCCTGTCGTCAGTTATAGCCATTTCTTCCTCATTGTTAACTTTCCTTTAGGGCAAACTTTAATTAAATGAAATGTGATCGTAGTAAACAACAATTCCCTGATCCATCGCCTCAGTAATTACTACCACAAATCACCCACTCTGTTCTAAAAGCGGTGGGTGCTGGAAAACAAATTCAGTCCAGAACACGGGCTGAAAATTGTAATCCATCATTTTTTTTTTTTTTTTTATTTTGACTAGAAAAAGTCCCCAAACAAACTTTGAGGCAACTCTTTACGGGGACAGACTCACCTGGGCATGTTGACCTCTCTGTTGCGTGGTCGACGCGCCACCTTGCTGAAGGCGACCCTGACACCCACAGCCACCACCAGCGTGAAGGAGATGACCCCTCCGATCACATAACCAGTGCTGGGGACAAACAAACAGGAAGTCACTCAGAAAAGTAAACAGAGACACAGAGAGAAAAAGTGTTGCTTTTAGTTTAATGTTCTGAACTCTGTGCGTTAAAGAAGCAGCTTCAACGAAGCAGCAACACAAACGGCTCAGCTAAACACTTTAAATCACTGATTTCATACAAAACAAGAATCTGGGCCAGCCTACTATTAAAATATGACACATAAAGAGGGGATGTTAAACTTTTGACATCAGCTGTCAGAGGATAAAGATGTTACATTTATATGTTATTACAATGGACAGCAGAGGCTATATGACGGAGCCACTTAATAGCTAAAAATATTAAGTATTCAAGCTTTATCCAAACAGGTTGTAAAGTACTTTAGACATGCTTACCTGGACTAGATCAAGTTTAACAGAGCTAATATTTTGGATTGGAATAAGGGAGATTGTTTCCGCAGTGTTGAATGTGACTTTGGCTCAGTACTAGATCCTCTTTGTTAGTGGGAGCTCCATCCCTCCCCATGAGGTAAAGCGTACACCTCCCTACCCAGACAGGTGTTTGGTAAGACCACCAGGGTTCATTTGAATCCTAAAGTCAGTCTGACACATCAACATATTCTGTTTCTCTGGAGATCCTCTACAGTTTGTCTGTTTCTCTGGAGATTACCTCAGCAGTTGCCGGACATTACAGTTTCTCCACCAGTGACTGAATCACTAAAGCCTTTTGCTTCTGTTTTAGAGCAATCAGCTCTAAAAGCTCTAACAGATATTTTCATTCAAATGTTTCACACACCATCCCACTGTCTGTAACTGTTATTCTGAAGGCCATTTCTTACATTTCTATACCTTACACTGATAAACATGTTATTTGTTTGTATTTGATGTTCAGTAAGGCAGGCTTTCTAATCAGTTCTTATAGTGGGAGTTATTTATCAATTCTTTTTTTTATGTTACAAAAAAGAATTGATATTTTGATGGGAAAGACTTTTATCAGTGTAATAGTGGGTAAGTGCATTTGTTCTTGAATTGAGGCGATAAAAGAGACATTTTGCAAATGGAACAAGACAATTTAGATTTAGAATAAGTATGGATTGTCTTATTTCGAGTGCATATTGTCGAACTATCTTATTTTAAGAGTAAACGTACTAATTTACCAATTCAACTCAAGGGTAAATAGACTTAATTTAAGAAATTTTTACTTCTTTCTAGATAATTTTTCTAGTGTAGGTAATATATAATTCAAGGTCACGTCTAATTGGTCAAATACCAAAATAAGATGTACAGCCAAGTAGCAGTATCTTTGCTGAATGGCTGGATATAGATCTTGTGCTTCTAGACCTCACTGAGGGATGGGGGGACTCCATTTGTTAGTGGTATGCAAGTGATGAAAAACAGTAACTTTCCCTATAAAGGGTTAAATATAAAATTAAAAATTTTATTATAGGAAATACAAAATTGAAAAAGAAAAAACCTAAACAAAAAAAACGAAAGTTACCCTGAAAACTTTGTTTTATCATGACATTTTTAAAAATGTCATGCAATTCTTTTAATTTCTACTAACAGAATGTGCTTGTAACAATTATGGAACAAAATTCACTCCATACTGTTAGCCTAAAGAGTAGCATACAGTAGATGATGATCAACTACAGGGTACCTGTCTGGGTTTTCCTGGACATTTTGGCACCTGTCTGCAGTCCTGAAATTAATCTATTGTGCAAATCTTTATAAAGTTATTGAGGGTCTAAGAAGATTACAAAAATATATCAGTGATCTAAACTAATTAATAATATATATATATATATATTTTGGTTCCAGTTGGCAAACATGTTCCAACCCTGACCTGCTGCTCTGCTGCTGCAGAGTCTCAAAGTCGGGGTCGTGCTTGTTGCCAGAGGAAACAGTGACGGGGACCTGCGGGTCGGCCCACTGTGGGGAATTGTAGTTGGTGCAGGTTTCCTGGTCCAGTCGGTTCCTCCGGTGCTCGCAGCAGAACCGGTAATGGCAGGTACCGCAGCAGTAGACGTACGTATCCTTGGAGCAGTTGAATGTATTGTCAAAGTGCCCCATGACGTCGAAGTAGCCCCTGGGGAAAAAGTTTGAGATCATAAGATTCAATTAACAGAAATCCTGAAGAAAAAAAATGAAGAAGAGACAAGAAGTTGAAGCTAATGAATTCTTTATCTCTGTGATGGTCTTCTTCCCTCTTTCTCTGCTTCTGGCTGCCTGAATGTGGTCGCAGTGTGTGGCCTGCCAACAGACAACTGATTTAGAGCTGATTATGTGTTGCTCAGCAACAGCGAGACGCCTCTCAGTGCAGCATATGAGCTTTGGTGGGATCAAGATGAGAGCTGCAGGAGAATCATGATGTTCTTCTATTTTATGGCATTCAGTGAGATGAACACATTAAAGGCCGAAGGAGGAAGCTGGAGTCGCTCCAAGCGTCACTGCTGCAAACATGGCCTGTTTTAAACAGTTTTCTTCACTGTTTCAATAAAAAACAATAAATTTAAACAATAAAACAAATAAAATGTTTTTTAGATTAGATTTTTCTGCATTTTCAATCCCTACTGTTTTAGGATTAAGCTTTATTGGCTCTAATTTCTCAGTGTGAGGGATTGCTGCCGAGTCAATGCAGCTGTTTTTTCTACTGTGAACGAATCTGACTGGGTGATCTGGGTGGATTAAAGTGCCTTGAGCTGATGTGTTGTGAACTGGAGCTATATAATTGAACTACATTGAGTTGAATTTTTAAAAAGTACAATTTCTTGTGCATCTTTGCACTGTTGGCCAGCTGGCTGAAAGACAAAATGCCAGAATGTTTATGATTCATTCATAACTTTTCAAGTTTTCCTGCTAACATACAAACATAACCTCCTTAGCAGAGATATAGATATAATTAATTATAAATTAACGGTTATTTCTTCAAAAGGACATGACTATGTGTGGGCCAACCTAACTATGTGATCTCCTTTCCTTTGAGAATACTCAGGGAAATAGGTTCAAATTAGAGCTTAGAGGTCACTGGACTTTATTTGGATGCTTCAAATTGTTCATCAGCTTCACTCTGAGATGATGGTTAACAAACCCTAATAGGACTAACTAATTATTTTAGACCTTTCAACAGTTTTATTTTTGTCTATTAATTTACATGTGTTTGATATGTTTTTCAATGTGCAATGATATCAAATTTGACATCAATTAAAATAACTACACCACAGGACGTTTGTACCTGCAAACTTCCCCCTCCACCAGTGGGGGTGCCACCTGGGCCCCACTGAGCGGAGGCCTCAGTGGGTTCTCCGTCACGTCCCGTGGGTACATCCTCTGTGGGAGGGGCTTCGGAGGGAGTTCAGCCACCGCAGGCGGATCATCATCGTCCTCCATCTCGGCTGCTTTCAGTGCCCCTTCGGATCCTCCAGAGGGTGCGGCCTTGTAGCCCGTCAAAAGGAACAAGGTGCTGCTCGTTTTACCAGCGGACCCTTTGGTGCTATCGAGCGTACTTTGGTCGCCGTCGCCACCTCGTCGCTTCACGGTAATTGTTAGGGGGAAAACGGGGAGGCAGAGTAGAAGCAGCAGGATGACACAGGAGGAAATCCTCCTTTTTGACAGCGTGGGTTTCATTGTTCTGGGTTTAGGTTCTTCAGTCGGGATTCAGAAAAAAAAAATCAGAGTCCAACTCCAAGATGGCAGCCCTCTAAAGTGTTAAAACCTTTAAGATGAACAATTTTTCAGTTCAGATGCACAGCGTCGGGGTGCCGTTCAGCAGCTGATCCATGAATGTGTTTGGCATTTTACTCGTTCATCAGAATGTAAACATTTCTATGCAAACAAACCGATCCAATAGCAGCTTGTGTAAACATTGAGGTTCATCAGGGGTGTAGGCCCTGTAACCAGTCAACGTTAACAACACAATGCCACTTTGTCATTGGCACTGGGGTCTGGATAATCAGTTCGAGTCCCTCAGCTCTCAGAGTGGCATTTTCTTCCTCTTGGCCAAAACTCAGACTGTTTCAGAGTGGCAGTATTTACACGTTTACTGTAAACAAAAAAGAGTTTGAGGAAAACTGTAAACTCTGAACAGAATGACCGACGAGGACGCCGCTTCTAGAAGCTCTGTTTGGCACGTAAGAAGCTGCTATGGAAACAGTGGACTGTAAACATTTAGCGTCGTATGTAAACTTCAAATCGCTCCAACCAAATGATGCTGGATCTGTTCTTCCGAGAGTTTGGCACTTCTGTTATCCAACGAAAATATACTAATCAGACACGGAAAGAAAACAATGTAGCTTCAGGCTGTGAGTCTGTAAACAACAGTGGTGGCAGCTTCAGAGATCGAATTTGGCACAAGCTTCTTCAGTTTGTGGGTTTTCTACATCACTCTTTCAATCTCCATAGTAAGCTCTACTAAAGAACTTGGAGAATGAGGTTCAGTAAAGGTGTGTATGCTTAGAGGTTTGGTCTAAACACGGGATTTAAAAAGCAGTGAGCTCTGATGGTGCTAAATGAAAATAAGGTAAAGGAACAGCATTAAGCAGCTTCAAGACTTTCAGGAAAGACGTTCTGGAAGAAGCAGATCAGTCCGTTAAACTGACATGTCTAATCGTTCAGAATGGAAGCAGGTGACCACTTAGAGGGACCGAAGAAACAGAAAAAAAAAAACCGCAGATCTATGTGCGTTCAGTTCCTTTGCGCGAGTGTCTCTGCTCTGAGTTTAGCTTGGCCCAACAGAAGAGAACAAAGGAGGGCTTGGGCCCGGTTCTAGCAGGGCAGCGAGGTTCTGCCCACAGAACAGACATGAAACTGTCTGGATTCATCCGTCAATGCATAGGAACACGCCACGTAGAAGGGGAACTAGACGTGGTCACCGTGGCTGCCACGATTCAAAGCCGCAGACTAGAAAAAATGCCTTAGAAAAAAACACGAATCACAGAGGCTCCTCTTTCATCCCAACGGAGGAACCAACAGTTTCCTCATGGATTTCCTGAACGTGTGTCTGCGTGCACCAAGATGACGAAGATCACTTTGTTATAAAACGAAAAGCTAAAATGCTGTGAGGAGTTTTGCAAATGTTAAAGTTATCTGTATGGCTGGTGTTCTTCAGTATGGCTTCAGGTTTGGCTCTTTTTTTTTTTTTGCTTAAAAAATTGTTTTTCTTTTATCTAGAAAGACGAGTAGAGTGAAAGGTTTTAAATTGCATTATTTTCCTAAAGTAAACAGGAGAGTAGTCAAGAGCTCACTGGGACTTGATAAAGGGGGCTTAAACGTCGCTAATCGAGCTCAACATATGGAAGAAACAAGACGACAATGGCTGAGAGGCCTCTCTGATGTAAGCAACTGGAAGAAGGAGATAGGCAAAGTGTTTCACAGCGCAGACTGAGAGGACAGTGTACGTCTAAGCTTCTCAGATAGCAGCAGCGGCGATGATGATGGCGGTCGTGGATTTATCTGGTCAAACGTGGCTCGTGTTAAACGTCTGTCAAAACGCAGTTCTGATTAAAAATAAAATCTTCAGACGGAGTCAGAGAATTATCGCTGCTCAACACACGCTTCCTCTGTCACTGGGTTTATAAAGCACTTTGAACCAATAATGCACTGATTATGGTCTTGGCAGGAGAAATCACGCAGTTTTAGCACTAAGAGAAGCGAACACTGCGCAGTCAGAAGCAAATAAATATGATGTCAGAGGTTGTAAAGGGAGGATGACTTAAAGGTTTATGTTGGTAAATAAATCAGGAGCTGAGGCTGGTTTGACTAAATACTTGATTATGTAGAGAAAAGTTTTTCCATTAGATGTTTTTTTTTGCTTTCTCTTTCAACACAGTCAGTTTGGCATCTGCTTTTGGTCTTTTTGGCAAAGAAAGAGAGGAAGATAAAGAAAAAAAAACAGAAATCTTCATCCAGGCCATTAAAATAAAAGAAAAAAAATGAGCAATTAGTAAAAGGAAATGTGAAACAGGAGTGGGAGATTTGAAAGAAGGGAAGTTGGGAAAATTTCCCCCAATAGATGCGATGAGATGGTTCTGATCAGACGGTTCACTCTGGGTAGGCCGCAGCTTCAGCAGTTTTCATGCTGCAAAACAAGAAAAAATACATTATGTTAGAAATGAGACAGTTATCGCAGAGATGAATATAGATTTTGTGTTTCTTTTCAATAGGTTTGCTATGGTGGAAAAATTTATCCAACATGGGTCAGTTTGTAGATCAGTAGCAGATCACATTTAATAAGATATTTGATTTTTTATTTATTTATCATTAATGCTAAAATAACAAATTTAAGAAATGTGAACCAGACACTGATTCAGCATTATCGATTGAAAAACAAGGCAGTTGAAGGGGTTAAAAACAGTAATAATGAAGTAATAAAGTATTAATATTTAGATTTTCGTGTTCATGTTCATGTTGAAAATTATACCATTAGCAAACAAATGTTATCTCTAAAACATAAGATTTAAAGAAACTTAAGAGCATGATGGTCGACAAAAGGTCTGTTAAGCAGCTGATAACAGATCCCCAATATCTGGTTTTGAAATGTTCTTAAACCAACAAAACACCAGAAAGATTCAAATCAGGGAAAAGTTTTGTTTGGAAAAATCATACATTTTCTATCTGCCTACAGAACTGGATTAGCATGAGACAAAAAAAAATTAAGATATATAAATGTTATTATTATTATTTATTTATTATAAGTATTATTTATGATTGCAGATTCTTTGAAACACAGCTTGTTGCTCGTCTCCAGATCTCTGTCAAGCCAGTCAGCTTTGCTTCTGCTTGCTCCTCTGTCCATCCTATTTCTTTAGAGGAAACCCATCTTTTGGAAGGGCAATAAAAGTCATGGCATATTTTGTTTTACAGATTCACCTGATAAAATACACTGGCACTAAACCAGACAACACTGATTAATCTGCAACAATGTGCTTTAATTGTTACAGATGCACTGACCCCCGGTAAACAGGAAGCAATGCTGAAGAGAAAATTATGCCTACACACAGCTGGAGCTCAACAACTAAGAATGAAGTTCATCCCTCATGTAGCTAAACAGCTTAAACACATTTTCTGTGCATTAAATGTAGAAAATATGTTTCCCAAGCTCAAAATATCTAAACAAAACAAAAATAATTTTGATCGCATCAACTGTGGCGTTTTATTGCATAGCAACGCTACCGCCTTGATGGAGCGCATGAACTCCTTTCTCTGAACCCACTGACACCTGAAAAAATAAAAAATGAGCGGACAGATGAGACTGGATCTGACTAGGATAGAGGTAACAGGGGATGTAAGAGACTCATCTGATGGAGGGAGAAATGGATCACAGATGTGTGGATGTGTTCTGTTTGCAGAGAGAGGCCTTCAGTACCAGGAGCATGAATGCGCTCAAAAGACCTAATTATTCCTAAAACACAATTAATGTCACTAAAATTGTACTAAAGAATATGTCATTAGCCATCCATGACAGAGAGGAAATATTTAAGAAGAAAACCATCTGAGTATGTAAAGTAATAAAGAGATATTGCAGGATAAGGGTCAGGGTCTTTAAGCTTTGGGTTTAAAACAAACGTTTTGGATCAACTTCTTTTTTTTTTTTTTACTATAGGCCTGATGTAACTTCTCCACTCTGAGATCAATAAAGTCAATCAATCAAAATCAAAGATTTTTTCCTTCCACCCAAGATTCAAAATGAGATCACCATGAGGACAATATTCATCTCCTCAAGCAACCTTCCACCAGCTGAGAGCAGTCAGAGCAACACCTCCAAAAAAAAAAAAAAAACACACAACAAGGCAGCAAGGAAGGAAGCTCTTCACTTCTATCATGAAATAAATGATAGAAGTGAAGAGGAATCTGTTAGAACAGGATGTTCTGAGGTTAGGGTCAGAGCTGACGGGAACTATATGCTGAATCACAATAACCTAAATAGGCCGGTCCTCCGCTCTGCTGGAAAGTTCTGGGCGCTCTGCTGCCCTGACAGCTTGGCTTCACATCAGTGTGTCTCGACCCTCCGGGGGCTTTTCCGACCCGCTTCCTCAGATGTCGTAATTAAGAAGCCCCCGCTGACAAATAGCTGAACCTCCACTGGCTTTCTAGGCGGCAAGTGTAATGATTCAATAAAAACTGGGAAGATGTGCGCGTGTACAACAGTATGGCTTAAACAGATCAACTTTGAAGTTAAAACTATTAAGCTCTGCAGAAGGTTTTTCATTTATTATAAATGTTGGTATATTCTTTATCAAATAATCTGTGCAGTTTGGTAACATTTGTAGATCTTTAATGGCAAACGAAATCTAGATAAGTCCTTTTTTCTAAAAAATAAGTGCATTTGTTCTTGGATTCAGGAGGTAAAAGAGACATTTTGCCAATGGAACAAGACAATTTACACTTAAAGGCACACTATGCAACATTTTTCAGTTAATTAATGTGTTCCATATCGTTTTGGATGATTAAATGAGTCATTTCAGGTTGAACAAAGGTATTCTCGGCCGCCCTGGTGGTCTGTGGGGGAAATACCGCACTTGCAATTGCAGGAGCACCGACCCGCACCCACAGGCTCAGAAGTCTCACGAGAGTCGGTCTTGCTTTACGGCGAGAACTGCTACACACCCCCAGTTAAAAGCATTCTCGTTGCTAGCACAGTGGCGATCTTTGTGCAGTTATGCTACGTTCACGCAGCAAAAGCAGCAAAATCGCGTCTGCTGCTTCATTTTTGCTGCTTATACCAGTTAGTTCTGACGCGCAGCTGAAGCAGCTTTGCTGCTCTGGCTGCGCGGTGCAAAAGTGTGTCTGACGCGCGTTGGGCGGAGCTTCACTATCCTTTCTCTGCCTTGCAGCTATATTTGCTGTGATCAGTGGGAATAAAGTAGTTTTAATATGTGTTTAAGTGAGAAAATACACCTGAAAACGTAATCAGTGCCGTCAGTTCATTCAGATTATTATCCTGCCTTCAATATTTTTTCTGTCGGAGCCGCTCAGACCCCCACATACCAGCGGTGCGCGACAGTAGGAATTCCTTCATCAGCAGCCTCGGCAGCTGGTAGGTGTTTTTCATCTAAATAATCCAAACTGCATATTCTGCCGGCAGATTTCTGCATTTTAAGTCAATTTAGGCGTCAATAAACTGTTTAAGAGAAGTGATCATAGCCTCTGATCATCAGCGCTGTGTCTCTCTCCCTGTGTCAGATGATTAAACGCGCCCGACGCGCTGCTTCATGCTGAGTTCACACCGGGGGCAGCTGGCCGTCCGGTCTGAACGTGGCATCAGCTGCTCAGACGCGCTGCGCCTGCTGCTCAAAACGCGCCGCGGGACCTTTTGCTGGTCCCTTGACGCGCGTCAACCATTGACTTTGCATGTAAACTCGCTGCTTCTGTCGCGCCAGCTGCGGTGTGAACGCAGCATTAGTCATTTGTTGCGTTTGCCTGTCTGCTAAGCTCAAAACAACTGCGCCTGGCTTGACGGAGAAACCAGGAGAACAGCTGTGCATATTTACGACAGTGCACTTTTACTTTCGCCCTTTGGGGGGAGCCTCGCTGGAAAATCAACACCGGTTGCATAGTGTACCTTTAAAATAAGGAAACACAATCGCATTGTCTTATTTCAATTGCATATCATCTATATATCTTATTTTAAGGATAAAAATACTAATTACATAGGCAAATTATCTCATTTACCTACTCAAATTAAGGGTAAATACACATAATTTAAGAAATTTTTACTTATTTCTAGATAATTTTTCCAGTGAAAGGAAACCAGAATAATTTTGGGGGAGGAGTGAGAAGATAGCAGTGGTTTTTAAAGCATTACATTCATTTTATGATAGAATCTAAACGCTGATCTGTATTGCCATGACCTGGTGAACATGCCTGTGTGCCTGCATGTAAAGCCCTGCTATTATCCCTCTGTCTTCCTGCCTCTTCTTTCTTCCGGCTTGCTGTGATATGCGACACACAAGCATGAATTTGCCCTGCTGACTCCCCGCCAGCATCATGTACTGGGAAACTGGTCTACTTCACCCTGCTATCAGCAGCATGAGTGTGTATAAAGACTCTATTATTGTTTTATTATTACTATATTATATATAAGATAAGTGCTTGTTGCCTTAGCTTTGTCTTTTCCCAGATGAATAATTTCTTCCACCGCAGCTTCAGTCAAGAGAACAAAGATATTAAGGCACCTGAAAGATTAAAATTTTCTGAAAAACACTCATATTTTTCAAATATTTTGTAATTTGCAGAGAAAATGTAAAGGGATTTGAAAAATCACCATGTATTGCAAATGTTGTGTTTAAAAGTGTGATGAAGAGTCTGGATTTGTGACTTGACTAGAGTTTCAACAGTTCAACAGTCTTATGGCAGTGGGGGAAAAAGCTGTTCAGAACCTGCATCAAATGCTGTGAAGTCTCTTTCCAGAGGGGCCACTGATGATGTTACAGCCTTGAGACATGCAGGGTTTGATAGAGGGAAGAGGAGCCCAGATGATCCCCTCTACTGTTCTCAACACTGTTCTCAATTCCTTTCAGTCTGAGGCGCTGCAGCCTCCACACCAAACAGTGAGACGGCTGGTCAGAACACTCTCTATGGTGTTTCTGTAGAAGGTTGTGAGGATGAGCGGGAGCAGGTGAACTCTCCTCATTCTCTGCAGGAAGTACATGCACTTTTGTGCCCTTTTGACCAGTGAGGTGGTGTTTACAGTCCAGGTGAGGGTGTCTGCGATGTGCACCCCCAGGAATTTGGTGCTGTTGACCACCTCTATAGCTGAGCTGTTGATTAGCAGTGGAGCGTGGTTAGGCCGTTTCTTCCTGAAACTTGCCAAGATGATCTCCTTCATCTTCTCCACGTTCAGGATCAGGCTGTGATCTCTGCACCAGTCCACCAGCTGCTCCACCTCCTCTCTGTAGTCCTGGTCGTTGTCGTCTTTGATGAGGTCCACAACCGTGGTGTCGTCTGCAAACTGTGCAATGTGATTGGTGGTGAACTTGGGGGTGCAGTCATGTGTCATCAGAGTGAACAGCAGGGGCTCAGGACGCAGCCCTGAGGGGAGCCTGTGCTTAGACTGATGACATCAGAGGTGTTATGTCC